TCCATGGGAGTGGGATTTGGACACGTTTTCGACGTTTCCCCCTTAATGCCCTTTTTTTTTTTACCTTATTCATGCAGAGCACTCCATCCGAACTGGTTTTCCATGTCTCTTTATTATCGTCCTGAGCGAGCACAATTTTATTGCCATCTTTTGCTTGACATTATGAACCTCCGTGCTTGATCCCGAATTTTGAGGTTTTCTGCTTGGCATTGAAGTCAATCAATTGATATTTTCATTCCCACGTACATGTAACTTCTGCCGTCAAATAGGACACCGGCGGCAAAGGCAGGCGCCAACACAAATTGCTTTAGCTTGTTATGTTTTTTAAGCATCTCTTGAATTTAAATTTTCTTTTTGTATTCAATCTGAACAACATGCGATTCTTATTTTTTTAAACAAGTTAAATTCCTACACTTGCTTTTTTAGTTATTTGAAAAATATATAACGCAAGCTTTTTCGTATCTATGCAACGCATAATTTTAAAACTGCTATGAATTTAATATCATTACTTGAATAGCACACTCACTGTAAGTAACTATTTTTCTCACAGATTCTAAAGAGTGTTATCATTAGTCTGCCTATAAATACCAAGGGTTTCCATAACATTGTGAACCAGATTGCTACGAGTGACCTCTGGCATACTTTCCCAGTGTCTCGCAGAGGCGAAAAACAACCTCAACCCATTCAAAGTTTTATTTTTCAGCAGCTGTATCATCGTCTCCAGCAGAAAGGGGAGACGGCGCGGTGTCACCACCTGCATGCATAACGTTTTGCGGAATCTGACTTGCCGACCCCCCTTAACTTCTCTCCACTGAGAACGTGACCCATGATTGTGCTGCGCACAAAACGCATTGTTGATTGTGTTTGCAGATACAACAATCACGGGGCTACTTTGGAAGGGAAAGTAAAAACTTCGGTTATTCAATCATTCACGGTTTATTTAATATTTTTAATCTCGGGTGGTCGAAATAGTATCTTTCTCTTTCATGACGTCTTTCAGGGGCTTGGGATAATGTTTAGTTTTGGATGAGTAAATAGCCCAGGTTGACTTGGAGAGAAGTTCTCGTCGCCCAACTTTATTAGGTTTCGATTACATCTCTCGTTTTCCCAGGAGTACAAGTTACACCTCTTGCGAGTAATTCCTTAGTACCACTTTTTATACATTTCTGTTGGTAAGCACTTGTAGAATTCACGAAAAAAATTAGTGTAAAAGTGACAGGTGCGCATAATTGGCTAGCTGACAGTTGCAAAACATGAATGTACACGTGTTTTTTTTCTCACATGAGCATTTGATTGAATGCTACCCCCTGGAGAGATTTTAGCATTGAACTGTATGCGAAAAGGACTATTTGCAATAAATAAATTGAATAAACAAGTTCAACTATAAGCTTTGTACGTATTTTCAATTCAACAAGAAATTTTGTGTTATTATTATTCCTTTTTTCCACCGCATTTTTTTTACTCTGGATTGATACTGATGAATGAATACTCGCATGTTACTTTTTATTAATCGCTTGGTGTTAATTTGACGTTAGAATTACGGTAATATCAAAAGGCTTTATAAGAAAAATATGTATTTAGTAAGTCGAATAATTTAACTTTACCATTGCAATACTAAAACATTATCAAAATGTTTGTATGATGTATGTGAAAAGTTTTCCCTTTTTTGATATTTCCTTATATTCTTTATATTAGCTGCAACTTTGTCAGCAGCCAAAAATGTACTGATTCACTCAGTGTCAGCTTAATGCATGATTTAAATCTGTGGGGCACGGAGCATTTTTGTCCAGAACTTTACCTTTTCAAAGCCACAACAACGAAGAATGACCAAAGAAAATATTGAATTTTCAAATCAAAGAGCTTAAGTAAATAATTTTCTCATTAGGCTCACCCTTGGGGTAATGAAGTTCGTGTTTCTACTATTATTTCTGTCCCGTTTGTCAAGATTGGCTGACCGATGTAACGTGAGAGGCGTCAGCCGTGGACAATGACCAAGCGGTCACAGGATACAATTCAACCAATACTCGGGGAGGGGATCACATAATGCTACCCTTGTTAAATTTGCTACCCTGTGAAAAGCCCACTTAAAAACGTTATTACTTCATTCAATTGCCAACCAATATTGACCGATCGCGATTCTTCCATTACATGGCCTTCTCCTCCCGGGAGATTGTTAATGCGTTCTGACCGTGAGGGCACCTTTTCCGAGCCACTACCCCGGAATATTAGATATAGAAATATTTTTAATCCGTTTTGTTAAAGCAGACCGATCTGCATTCAGCAACCTCGCCCTTTCAACGCATAATAAGTTTATATAACTTTAACCTTTCACATTCTGGATATTCATTACTTTTTAGGTTGCATGTGAAATTTTACCAGTTAGGATACTCAGCGATGGACAATCATTTTCGCACGCCATACTTTCATCTGTACATGGCAAGACGTGTTTATAGATACACTCTTTAAAATATTCTATAAAAAAGACAAAACATTTGTCATCTTGGGGGTGTCTTTATCCTTCAATGTTTGTTAAGATTTGGTCATTTGACATACCAGTGACCCAACTCTTAAATCCCATTCACCGGAAAAAAAGGTGGACAGGAAAAATTTTCAATTATATCTATGATATTATTGAACTTGACGAGACGAAAAATCGGCAAGTATTTGATGTTACCGAAAACGGGGCGATCCTTTGGTCATTAGTTCTTAACTGAGAGCACACATTAACTTCACTTCTCTTTACTGGACTCGCAAAAATATTGTCGGGCGATTTGCTTCAAGCGTAATCTGTTGAATCTCTAAAATGGGTGCGTATTAACCCGTATCAGATACTCACCATTATCAATTATCAGTAAAGAACATGAAGAAGACTCGGTCATTGAGGATCAGATTTCGAGTGAGATCACCACGTTAACTCTTCATACCATGAAGGCAACATTTGATCCCGCTGCGCGTTTTGATCATTATCCTACAAAAATTGTAAAGAACTTGGAAGACCGTAACAGATCCCCGGCTACTCGGTGCAGTAGGGGGCTTGGGTTGCAAAGTTCAGGCGGTGCGCCGAGTCGAGATTTCAAAAGCATCGTTGGACTGAAGTAAAATTTTTATTTGGAGATCTTGTCCGAAGAAACCGACAGGACTGGACCGCCAGAGCACGTAATTATCCACATATGGTAGTGACGAGAATCAAAATATTTACACCTGCAAAGAAAAGGCGTTTTAAGTTCCGATTCAACGCGACATCTTCGTAAGTGCTCGATTGTTGAATCTAGTGATTCTATTGCCATGTAGCGCTTTCTGTTGCCCAATTCACTGTTATATCATACTTAGTGAGGAATATGAAAACAACGATTTGGCCTATTATGGCTGCAGGCAGGAAATCTGTTAGAAGAATAGATACAAGTTTAATTAATGGAGTCCTTTGAATCCGAGCCATTAATTCACTTTCCGAGTTAATGGCTCCAAGAAAAATAACAGCTATTAATGATTTTGTCAAACAAGAAAATTTACAGACGGGATTCATGGAAAGTATTACTGTCGCTATATCCACAAAGATGAATTGTAACAACTGTTTCAATAGATACATGTTCTTGTTTATGTAGTGAAACCTAAGCCGCCAATATATTGATTTAGAATATATGGAAGACAGGGAAAATATTTCCATGAGGGAGGAAGTCCGTGACAATATCTTTCGCGAAGGTCCCATGTTTTATAAACTTAGGGTCACGAAAAAGTCGCCAATATTTTTCGAGATTGCAGAAATATTTTACAGCTCATCTTGAAACATTTTAAATTGACTGGTAAACATTTTGAGAAGTGCTGTTTTTATTTTTATTGAATAAACCTTGTGTGCTTGGTAAAGGTTAAGGACTAATGTCAAGAAACGAGATAAATCTATTTTTTCAGAGACGTGTCATATTCCGGTCTTCTTATAAACAATAAAAGCATAAACTCACTGCAAGAAAATATTTTCATACTTTTTAAAATATAATTTTGATTCTAATTATTAATCTTACCAAAAGAAAGAAAAACACCGAAACTCCTCTGTTTCTACTTCATTTGTTGTATAGGTAAAGTGCAATAAGCTACTCATTATTACTTTAAGAATATATTGTATTAAAACACAAGTGCATTAAGATGGCGAAAGTGTGAAAAACATCATTTACTCAGAAAATATTTCTTCTTCAGTTTTGTTTTGGTTTCCACTTCCTAATTCGATGACAAAATAGAAGTAAAATAGTATTCAAGAAGTAAGCGACGTTTGACAAACGGATTTGAGACAAACCTACGACTCACTAAACTAACTAATGACGAGCGAACAATTTAAATAGAAATCTTGATTAGTGACTTAGTCTAATCATCTCGATTTTCAGCCCAGCCACTTACGTGAAAGGTCTATTTACCTACTTATAGCTAGCCAATAAACCTTTGGCGAAGAAAAATATCAACAAAATGCTACCATAAATAAGGAACAGAATTATATGGTTTTGGAATAATTTGCATAGTCATTTAAAGCTGTATGATTAAAACTGCACAGTAATTTTATGTCGTGTAATTATTACTGAAATTAAAAACCTTAAATATGAATTTGATTCTTTTCAAAAATGAATAAAATGTTTTGTTTATGTATTTTTTTCTCATATTGGATTGTTCGTGAACTGCAAACCTCAATATATCATAAAGCTACTTTAAACAGAAACGTTCTTAGTCTAAATCTTAACCATTTTGTGAACATGCATTACAATTTTTCTCAAAACGTGATTTTATAATGCTTTTTAGTAAAGATAGCTGCAGTCAGGTTCTTATCTGACAAACTGAAAATTTTTTCACATTACTTTTTTCTTTTTTCTTTCTTTCTTTCTTTTTTATTTATTTATTTATTTTATTATTATTATTTTTTTTTTTTGCTACTTGTATAGTCACAATTTCATCCGATTTCGAAACTGAAATTCTCAGTGGTGAGACTGTTTGTTTTTTCAGAAATAACACTGAATAAGATAATGAGTATGAAGTGCCTTTATTGCACAGATATAGTAACGATCTTAAAAGGACTAGGAGAAAAACAATTGCTATCAAAACATATAGGATTGCAACATGTGATTACAACAATTAATGATGTTTCGATTGACACAAATACGTACAGCAAATTCTCGTTTTGATCATAAAACATATTGCAAACTTCTTTCGATGAGACCTTGTTCTTCATTAAATGATTTAATAGATCTAAAAAAAGTCTACTTTAACGAATGATTTCAATCGCCCCTCTCTTATAGCATAAAGAAATAATGTAATTATACGCGCTTTTTTTGCCTTGACAAAAATTATTAAAAACAATATTGATAAACGGAATGGAATGTATACAGATGTTCTCAGAACACGAATTGATCATTTGATTTACAAAACAACACTTAAAAAAGTCCAATAACAAAATACTACCGTGACTACCATGTTCTAGGAACAATACTCAGAGACAAAACTGGTGGTGAAAAATAAACTCGTAATGCGCGTAATAAAAAATTAAATGACAAAATTAAATTTAAAAAAATGAGAAAAATTAAATTACAATAATAATAAAAAAACGAAGGCATCGCGCGCTAATAATTGACTTTGGCATAAAAAGAATATTCACATCATTCAGAAATTTATCTCCCATGTGTACTATGTAGGGCTGATCCGTTTGCAATTATCTATTTATAACCACTAAAAAGTGAATACACGTTAATTATCTTCGTGAAATACTGAGATTCTTTGGTTTTTATCACATATCTTACATTCTTCACTCTATCTTCTCTACAGTTTGATTTAGAAGCTTTGTTGAAAATCTTAAACAGATATAAATTAAATGTTCAGTCCGCTTTGTTGAAAAGGTCTAAACTGTTTGCCCAGCCTGGAAATGCCTTAACTGGTTGGAATATTGCGAAGACGCCGAGTAAGCTGACTGATGTTGAAGAGAAGCTGCGTAGCTTGGCAAGGGAGCGTTAGCAGACGCTACGTTGGTCATTCCGCCAAAATATGGAGAACTGTTCATATTCATATTCACGTTCATGTTGGCTGCTGAGGGATAGTATGGGGACGTGTACCCGGGGGTGGATGTATTTGGGCTCCATGCCTCTGGTTTCGTTCCTAGGCCGTACTGTGGCTGGGCCAGTCCCTGTGGAAATGACGGCAGAGCAGCGGTCAGAGGATTCAGGGACGGGTATGGTGATTTGTATGCGCTTGGTGCGGTTCCGTACAGGCTGAAGTGACCGTACGAATTAACGTGCTGGATCTGAGCTTCGTTCGGCCTGAAAGACTTGGGAAGCTTAAATCTCTTCGCGCGGCGTAGAAAACTTCCATTGCTGAACATGTCTCCGGCTGCCGGGTGCAGCGCCCAGTAGTTCCCTTTCCCTGGGCGCCCTGGTGCGCGCGGGATCTTTACAAAACAATCGTTCAGAGATAAATTGTGCCTGATAGAATTTTGCCATCTTTGCTGGTTTTCCCTGAAGTAGGGGAATCTGTTCATGATGAAGGCGTAGATCTCATTCAAAGTCATCATGCCCGCACTGGAGCTCTCCAAGGCCATAGTGATCAAAGCGATGTACGAATACGGGGGCTTCACGTCTGCGAAACGGCGCTTCTGCTGCGACAGAGTGGACCCGCCGCCGTAACCGCTCATGGCATCTAGCTCGGTGCTGTGGCTACTCATATCAATGTCGTCTGGGCTCTTGGTGGAGTCGTGACAGTCGTCTGAGTAGGACGGGGACGGGTGGTTGTCCGTGCTGAGGGCGGTCATCCCTGGAATCCCGCCGCCGTTCTCCATCATGCAGGAAGACTTCTCTGGCGGAATGCCGCCTCCATTCGTGTTCGTGTACTTGGTTGGATCTGTCTGAACAAGATTGCTTGGGACTGTTTCCATGATCATCTTGGCGAATATTACAAAAACGCGTATTTAAATTCGGTATTGCGTTTTATCAGTCTTGATTTTTTTCTTTTAAAAGGTGCCTGTATTGTTCAAATTTTTCCGATCGCTTAAATCACAGCTTGTCCAATTTTTCAGCTTTCGTTAAATTACTTCTCAAGATGCACAATATTTTTCAGACTACTTTCTCTGCGGTTTTAAAAGTTCAGTCCTCTACGAAGCAATGCGTAACACCAACTGAGCAATGGTTTGTGTTTTGACACTTTTAAAGTAAATATTGGGGTAGCTTGCGCATGCGTATCACCGCCCCCTTTCACCTGTCTTCCCACGGGCGAGGGGCACTCAGGTGCGCTAGAGAGTTTGAATGAAAGTCTTAACTAGCAAATAGCAAGGGATTAACTTTCAGCTTATTAGGCTTCAAAGTGAAGAGCATTAAAATACAAAAACCTACGTCCAGGGTACATTTCAACACAAAAGTACCGAAAGTTACGGGAGTGTAAAGAAGAGGGTTAAGGAAGCTCTGCCTGGACACATTTCCAAATTAGTGACCAATACGTTCGCAGGGGGTGCCAGGCAGATTATAGACCAATTTGTAGGGGGAAAGGCTCTACAAATACAATTTGTCCACTTGATGATATTAACCCCTGGAAAACACTTTGATCTCTCCCACAGGTGGTTTGACCACCCAGTTTTCAGTGCAATGGACGGTCAGCAATTCCATATATTTATCCAACCGGCTAAATTTTCAGTTGTTATTTTTTTTAATGATAAAGTCATAAATCCCGGTTGAATTAAGAGTACGTTGTATTTTTTCATTCTCTTCAAATTCGTAACTCGAACGATTTTAGTAGTGAAAAGGAATTATTTATTTTATAATTTCCATGGATAATAAGAATGTGGAAACCATTATTGAATCAGAGCAACATAAATGCATAAACGGAAAATAGCATCCACAAACTTCAAAAGTATCACTATATTACGTAATATGCACGAGACCACGCGTCAAATTTCTTGAAAATTTCTCACATTTGCACGCACTGCCCCTCAGCTCTAGAGGAACGTGCGCGCCATGTAGTTACAGGAATTAATATTCGATTAATTAATGTACTTCACGTAATGATCTTTTAGCGGTGCATTAATAGGATTGAGCGCTGGCTAGACGCCCCGGGGACCAGAAGTGGCCACGATGCCGCGGACAGCGGCCACTGTTTGCCTTGCTATTGCTACTTTTCATCTTCGGGGGTCGTATAAACAGTAATGCCAGCTCACATTGACTGTCTTTTCTAGTTCCGCGAGCACGTTTAATCCACGTACAATACTGTAGAAAAGCGTGTTTTAGTGGTATTAGGGCAGGTTGTATAACTGACTGCGCTAAACGCAGCATGGCCACTGTGTTCACTTCATGTCAAATCTATCGCTTCCAAAAAGGGCATTCTTTAACGTAACAGCTCTTAGATTAATTACCGTGCAACCAGGTAATTGAGAGGCTGAACATTCACAGCCCAAGGTGTCAGGCTGTTTAAGATCCTGTCAAGTACAAATTGTCCAAGTTGTTCCCAACTACCAAATTATCTACCTTTTCTTGTGACTGGTAATTGTTCGCACACGTGCGCTGTCAAAGTGAAAGTTTTGCTCTTAAGTGAACAAGTTAATTATGCCCCGTAATAGCTAATTACAGGTTGGCAGTGAGTGTCACCAGATATATAAATCAGCGCATCTTTCTGAACTGCTTAATTGTCATCCGTAGGAGAATTTTATTTCCTGGTTACTTTGCTGAGGGTATTATCAAATTATCAAACAAATTATTTCTTACTTTTTCGAAATAATGCCACTGCTTTTAAGATTTATTAACACGATCAAAGGGATGTAGGTATTTGAGCTTGATCATACCAAAATAATTCTGATTATTTATATTTTTATATTTTTTATATCACGTAGGACACTTTGTTTCTGTTAAAATTGAATTGTACCCAGCATTATTTATTTTTGATTATGTAAATGCAAAATCTTAGACCCACCACGTTAAATCAATACAACACAATAAGCAAAACTACTTACTGAATTTTTCACGAAAACTCACATGAAGAAAAAATATATAGATTGACTAATGAATCGTTTGTTGAAATTTTCAAAACAGTTGTCTGAAAATGTGGATTTTGAGTCCTTCGGACTGCGTCTACCTTGATATTGTCCCCACACATTTAGATGAAGATGAAAGGAGCAGTTCATGCAAAACGCGTGATGATTCACGTAATCCAAATGATGATTACAGAAAGCCGAAACGCTGTGGTCAGACTCGTGAAATCTGATCAACGCTTGATAAAGTGGTCATTTTTCAGGTGTCAAAAGTACCCCGTATCGATGACAGCTTCATCAGAACTTATTGATTTATTTATCCGGTAAAAACAAAAGACGCATTAAAACGGGTAATACTTTTCGTTTCTGGGGGCATTTTTGTCCATTAGTTTTACCAAATCTTGTGACTCATTATTTGTCTACAAAATGCAAATAAGAAAATTTTTCATAAACATTGCACCTCATTTTACAGATTTTGAATTTAATACTGCTTATCATTGACTTTAGTAAGTTTACTAAGACTTAAATTACTGAGAATGTAAGAGGATATGCGCAAAAATACAATCCGTAGATTTAGGACTACTCTTCAGATCGATCGTCACACCGCTCGCTGGGATAGTGCACCTTATTGACGCGTTACTTCAATCACCTCACTCGCTTTAGCGTTCATCGGGTAAAATGATTAAATCTGAAGGATTGTAGCCGCGAATGTGTTTATTGCCCAGCTTAGTATTTGAAACACAATATGGGTCAGAAGCTACCTGACTCGTGCTCTGGGTCCCCCCAATTTACAGGGGGAGGGGGGAGGCTTCAGAGGCGCGACAACGGTTTTGTGGTTTTATGTAATAGAGTGTAATCAATTGGGTTTTTAGATTCATTTGGGGATTCATTTGGGAAAGTAGCGTCTAAAATACACCCTAAATGTATGATGTGGCAACCTGATTATAAGATAGAACAATGGAAAAATTTTAAAGAAGAATTATTTTTCTTCTCCCCAATTCTTTTGCCAATTTGCCCAACGGTGGGGACTTTTCGGTGCATCTTTCTTGTGCCCCAGGCATAGCAAAAGTGGGTAGAAAGGAACAAAAAGGGGCGATTTGTAATGGAATTACTCTTTTGTATGGCACATTGATGACCACTAAAGCGACCAGAAAGGATTAGATGGAAAATATTTACTCAGTTATAAATTTCAATTTCAAACAAATGCACTTTGCTTCTGTATAAAAGGTGTAGCTCCTTGTCACTAAGCTTGCGAGAGTGTTACGTAAATTTTCTTTGCCATGCCATTACAGGTGCATTGCTCGACAAATTCGGCAATTTCACGCATTTCGAGAAATCAGCAATTGAAAATATGCGGTCATCCTGTTCTTTTCCTCCTATCATATTTGTTCTCATCTTTAGATTGTTTGCGACTTTCATTTGGAGTAGCCCTCGAGTCAAACGATAGGCTTAATCTAGTTCAATATTAGCGAAACAAATATGATCACTAGGTCAGAAAACACGAACTGATACTTCACAAAAAGGGGCGTAAAGGGAATACAATAGCGACCGGTCCATGATAATCGACTTATGTGCAGCCCGAAAAAATATTTAAAGGCAGCAAGATTCTGACTGTATTTTCTTTTGTCCTTTGGCACAGTAAAGGACAAATATGTGTACTCGTTGACACAAAGGTAGGAGAGAGGGTCCTCAAACAACTCACCTTAATTAAGTTGTTCACGACAACAGGTTTAGTACAAATTGATGAAGCTGATAGTGGCTAGGAAATTCTATACTGATTGCGGTGTGCTAACCGCGAACCGACGGCCGGAACGTTGTCTTTAATAGAATTTTTTGGTAATTGAAAAAAGAAAGAGTAAAAAAAAAAAAGAAAGAGTTAAAAAAAGAAAAGTAAAAAGGTTGCTTCAATTAATAAGATGAAAAATCTATAAATCTATAAACAAAAATCTTAGTAATGGAACAAAATACACATTGCAAATTTATGATTATTTTATATGCATATGAACTACAAATTATTCTAATAATAATAATAATAATACTATTTTTTTCATTCATTTAATATTGTTTTAATTTGTTTGGAACAATTCATTTTTGTCGCAAAAGCAATTCATGCAATATTAACATTTAAAGAGATTTAAAGCCCACCCTCACAACCCGAACATTATTTTCATGTTTTTCATTCTCCATTTGAAACTACATCTCTTTTTGTTTCTTTTCTTCCACATAATATTTCAACGTACTTAATGGGACAACCGCTAATTTCCCCCTCCCATTTATTCGATAAATTCTCAATCAAAGAAGATGTTTAGTCTTACAGGGTAGCGAGTGCTTCCCCGGTTTGAAGCGCTCGCGGTGTATACACAGATGCTAACAAAGGTAGATACAGGTGATAGGATAAACATGAACTGTCGCCGAAGTCCTGAAAACGAAAAGAACAGAAACTGGCTGTGCTATTGTCACAGGTCCTCCGCAAGTTATTTTCTCTGGTTTCACTTGTGATGCACCCGTAAGTGGACATCGTACCCACCAAGCTTCCGTCTGTCTACCAAATAAAGTATAATGTATTATCTACGAAATATTTTCTTTAAAATTACATTTAAGCTTTATGACATCGTTATAAAGAGGAAGATATGATATAGAAATTTCACATTTTAACTTCAGATCAATTAAAACGACATCGATACGAGGAGGATCGTATAACATGCATTTTATTCTACATGTACATGTACTTATCATTTAAATTAATAATAAGAAAAATATTTCAAGATGCTGGACAGAAAAGGTTTTTCCCGGCGTCATTCTCAACGAAAAGGAAAACTCAAGATCCAACGTAGTGATCTAATTGATTTTCATGCCATTAACGAAAACCACGTAGCAATAGAAATACCACACACCTGTCTACTCAAATCCTCCACAACAAGGGACTTTTATTGTAGGTTTTGTTCCAGTCCGCGAAATCACGGGTAAGTGACGGATTTAACCATCTCTCTCACCTGGATGCGAAGAGGTGGTAAAATCCCTTCTCAATACACGCATTTAGCAACAATATTTTCAGTGAAAACAGCATAACTGGAGGCAACTAAGCTTATTATGTCTCTACTGATATCTTCTGAAATAGAAAGCACTTTTGTTACATCAATTTCTTATCTGCAGTGGCCACCACTGCCCTTTCTCCAAGGACAGATTAAGCGGCAGAGAAACGGGCTTAGCATGGCCTGCGTATGTTGGACGATAGGCTTTGTAAGTATTGGAACAACGCTTGGCGTTTCTTTAGTGGTAGCAAGGGTATTGCAAAGTTGTAAAGGCATGAGGTTTCGGCCCTTTACTCTCAGCTAATCTTCAACTTTTGATACCATACACCCCTTCAGGCCGTCGATTAAGAGAGGGAAGCCGCAAACACGCACTACAGACACTTCAAAGTGGATGATACTGCACCTTTAGAAGAATCGACCGCTTACTACACCATTGTAAGTGTCGAGAAGGGATTAACTCACAAGCATTACGCGACTCGCCACTACGTACATTTATAAGGATTAATCTGTTCTATGATTTTAGTAATTTCACTCCAACATGGATACATTTACCTCCACCTGCTTTGGCCTTAATATTAAGATTGAGTAAAATCAAAGGTGGGCTTGCATTGCCTTTTAATGGTTTATTTTAAACGTCATTTCTCTCTTTTTGAACCATCACAGAATACACCGTGAATTGTAATGTAATCCAAAACCTTTTTTCCTATCAAAACGACTCTAAACTTTGTTTATTAATGTCCTTTAAATATATTTCATATAATTGTTAATTTCGTTTATGTGCTGATATTGGAAATTTCTATAAAAAGTGACACATTCAGAATCAGAATGAAAGTACAAGTCAATCTCGATGGAATAGGACTAACAATACCTTAACTGCTAATCGATAAAATAATGTTTCTGGACGAGTTTGAAGATGTTTTGAGACACGATCGCACGTAAATATGAACAAACATTGTGAGTCATTTTTTTTTCTGTCGGTTACAGCTGCAGCTGGTCCCAAATATGAGAACAACAAGAAATGTTACATTCCTAAGTGTCCTACATGCCATATCAAATCACGCTGTCGTCAACCAAAACAGTTGTAACTCCTTCCTTTCCTTGTTCTCTTCAGTCTTTCTCAGGCCATCTATTATTTCATATATATTTATATTTGATTCTCGACAAAAGCCTCTGCATACCTGTATGTTAAGAGGTGGCTAACTGCATGTGGGGCCGAGCAGAAAAAATATTTGTCAAATTATGAGCCCTGTTTACCCGTTTAACTCCATCAAGCCTGAAAAATGGGCTGGCAACTGAAAATGTTATTTTTACACTTTGACCTAGTGTTATGTATTTCAATTGGGCCCACTGTGACACCACAATAATTAATTGTAAGTGTGCTGTATTCTAGTCGATAGTTGTGTACGTGGTTGTTATTTTGGTAACAATTCCCAGACCTGCCATTGCTCCTCCCACAATCAGAAGAAAAAGTAAGCAGAGAGAATACACGGCTGATTGCACTATGAAAACCCACCTTTCTTCCTCAATGTTGATGAACATGGGGAAGAATAGACCGGCTTTATTTTTTGTATCAACAAAACACGGATTTGACAGGGACTCGCATTTCGCTGATTAAACCATATGAAAAGTGAAGAATTTGACTCCTTTGCAAAATCCGTCAATCAGAAACGATTGGTCATCGTCGCAACGGATGAAATATCCGGAAAACCACAGACCGAGGGCGTGCGATACACAAACGATTAGATGTCAGAGCTCACGTAATTCCCCCTAGAGCTGAACTCACTATACACAAGCTCGATGACATCGTTTTTAGACAAACAAAGATCAATTTGCTTACAGTTTTAAATAACATCGCGGAATAAAAGAAGGTAAACATGTTACGAAATAACGTTTCTGCAGTGACTTCTCGCATATCTTTAGGTTTCTTTCACACGGGCAGAATCTAAACCGAATAGTTTCGGTTCTACATTTTTATTTGTTGAAATTATACTTTTATTGTCACTGTAAATAATTTTGATTGTTACCTCAATTATGCATTTTTTATCAAAATAAAGCTATTGTACATTAAGAAGAAGTCTCAAGGGTCACCTATCGTTTAGAGAATTCAAATTGTCACTGCAAAATGTTGAATTGATGCGTTAATTTTTTTGCTAAGAGAAGCCCTACTAAAATAAAGAGGAAAGGGTGATAAAAAATGAAAATAAACGTTTTGTCTTGAAAAACCAAGTCTTACAAACACGAAATGTGAAAAGATCTGCAGAATAGTGCCATCTTGGCGGGAAATAGTTCTGTTACCTTTTTTGATACGTTTTTATTATTGTATTTAAAAAAGCAACTATTATTGCAAATTTCCAATTCATTTTGTTTTCTGGAGGATTTGGTGCTTCCAGACCCTTAATTCTACCTGAATTCTGATCTACCGAGTATAGTCTTGTAGTTTTATCGAAACCAGCAAAATTATGAAATAAAGGAAGGAACCGCCTTCGAATAAATTTTTGAATGAATGAAGAAGATGAACTAGACATTCGGGTATTAAAGGAAATATTATAAAATGTGATGAAAAACATTCTAAACGGGGGAATTTTGCGCTGAATTGTTCACTTCCTATGCAAGTATAATTTGCAGTGTTAATCAATCAGAAAAAGCTCATTTAAGAACAATTACCATTTTGCTTTTATTATCATTAGAACGATTTAAGTAAATATAAGTGACAACATACATTGTAATACTGATTAAATTATACAAAGCAAAATATATCCAGTAGGCCTATGAATTCCTTCGTATAGTGGTTACGTTTTCATGTACATCTATGAATGTAAAAGGCAAAGCATTTATTTATTTATTTTTAGGCACAACTTTTTTAAGTAAGTTAAAAAGAGAATATATGAACATGTTGAATTCATTTCACAGACACTGACAAACTGTTTATTTGACTTCCTGGACGTTTTGCATGTCAGGTGTAACAGGAATGGAAGTGCGGGCTCCCATATGACTAGTAGGCCTACAAGTTAAGATTAGTTGGAGTACATGTATTAGGGCTAGTATATGGGATGAATGTCACCTGTACAAAGTAATGGGAAGCGGACTACGGTTCCTGGCGGATTTCCATTCCTGTTACACCGGTACACCTTGATTGTGGTAGATGCGCAGAACCAGGCGGAAGACGCATATAGTTCTCCTATCACAATGATGGTTCTTTTTAACTTACAAAAAATGTAGATCAACCACAGGCGGAAGTTAGGAGAAAAATAATAGACGTATGTCAGTAAACCCGAGAAAACAGTTTAAACGTTGCCTTTTTTCCCTGCAGTAAAGGATAACTTATTGCAAATGGGTAAAAAAGAGTCTACAGAAGATCATCATGATTTTTTCCCTTTTCTTCACAAAACGTGTTTGCTATCATGCACTGCGTCTGACTCACTGTGTGCAGTTTGTGTGTCAGTGTTTCTTATGGCAATGTGTTCTTTTTCGTTCTTTGTCCACATTTGCAGCAATCAGTCATAAATTAATTTAGATAATGATAATTAGAATTTAAACATCAGCATCTATTAGCAAGATAATGCCCATTTCTTTCTTTTTGTTATTTTCTATTACTTTTTCTGAAAGCTCTATGAATGCAAAAGAAGTAGATCTAAAGCTTATAACCACCTTTATCACTCTAGTGAGAGAGACCTAATGTTTACTTTATATATTATATCAAAAGTATCTTCAACTGCAAGCAGATGGCATTTTGTTGATGACGTTACGTGGTTTGCGTCATTTGTCCCATGATGCTTTGCAAATTTACGGACAAAGATATGGCAGCCATGTTTTTCTTGCATCGCATTCATGAGCAGCAGCATTGTTTGATCTTTTGTTGCTCTCTGGACTCATATTAATGCAAATTTTTGCTGCATATCGCGTTTTTGACTTGAGCTGCACTGAAAAATGCAGTATTTGGAAGTTATAATGTCTGTCACTGGAAGATTACGTGTTCAAACTGACCGATTTTTTGGACTTGGAACGATCCATTGAGAAGAGAAAATTGCCAGATTTTTGTTGGACATTTGGAGCAATACCATCTCGTAACTAGGTGCTGAAGTGAAATCGAAAGTAGGGACAGGATTGGGAAACCTTCTTTAAAGTGAAAAAACTGCACGAGGGACGTGACCAGCGAGATATTTAGCGGTTATTTACCACGTGATTGCAGTATGAGTCCTACCTGAAAATGACCACCAAGGTTAGCTTACTTTTGTTTACGTTTTTCTTGTTGTTTACAGGTGACAGTATGGTGCAATTATATTTCAAGAACCGTCGTTCACTTTTCTTAACAGTTTTGGAGTCTCCATATGTCTGCAATCCATTAGAAACGAATTTGCGAAGGATTTTAAAAGGGCTTATTGTGACTGATTTTGAAGATATTTGGGAGATATGGAATTCTCTCTTGCATTTCTACCATTGTTTTCGGCCTTTTTCTTTGTACATTTAGTTAAGTATTGTCTTCATTTGTGTTTCATGTACATTTGCACAAAATAGAGATGCCACGCCCTTGGTGAGGAGTGCATTTTCACTTTGTTTTCACAGAGATAAATTTGGCTGAAATTTTTCATACTTTCAGAGTAGCAGTTTTGTTTATACATGCTTGGTATTTCCAAGAACTTTTTCTTACTGTTATAGAAGGTGAACACGTCTGAATTTTGGATATTTGTCTGATTAAACCAATGACTTTCAGGTGACCTTGAAATTTTCAGAATCTGAAGGGGACCCTTTTTTGCTACAGACCCCTTCTTTTGAGAGGTATTGCTTTTCCAGAACTGCTTGCAGTGTCTTAGACTTGTGATAATATATTTTTACAAATCTTTGGCTGTTTTTTAGGCCCATTTCCCAATTAATGTACATTTATGTTAGCTGAATTCTGTACATTAAATATAAAAAGAACATAAACTTGTATTTTAATCAAGTTTGGTAGTTTGTGTAAATTTGCCCTTTTACAATTGTTTTAAGGGTAGGTTTAGGTGTAATTTTTGACCATTTAACGTGTCTTACACATTTTATATAACTGCTTATAGTATGTTAAGATTGTGCTCTCTATTCTTGGCATTTGTTAAGTGTCAGAAAACCAAGGAACAAGGAAAATATTCTATATTTTATTATTTTCTGGTGTGTGTAATGTAAAAGGGAGCTCACTGATACTTTGTCCAATTTGACCACATAATAGGTTGTGAACACATCTTGTGTTTTGTTGATGATATTCTGATAGCACTAGCTTCTTATTTGTTCTTGAAATTTTAGAAAATAAGAGGGACCCATTTTTGCTTTATATGTGATAAGATTTTGTCACTCAATGAATCAAGGAAGCCATATTGGATTGTATAAACTTTGTTAATTTTTTGACAGTATATAATTACATGTAATTTTGCTCGTGTAGGCATTGCTGTATTTTATTTTATGCAATCCTAGTCTGCTTTTATTGAAGTTGTTTAAGCAACTATTAGGAATAAATATTTGGACATATAGTTTGACTTAATTTCTAGATTTTAGATACTTCAGAGTTATTTGTTAATTTATTATTGTTTTTCATGTTAGAAAACTAGTGATGAAGGATAATTTAAAAATACTGTCAATCACATAAAAAGCTTTTTATCAACATATGTAATACATTTTGATCATTTTAATGCAAATTTAAAGTCATGGTAATGTGGCCTTGCCATATCCCTTGTTTCATGCAAAACTTAGTGCCATTTGGTAAAACTTAAGTTTTTCCCCTTTGACAATTACATTGCAAGGTAAGCAAATTAATCAGCTATATATTTATTTGTTGAATGATCCTTATAAAGTGCTAGAAAACAGTTATAAACCTGAAGGTACTCTTTGACTTTGCAAGAATATTACTGTGCTAAACATATACTGTAATTCACTCACTTAGAAGAGATAAACTGAACTTTCATTTGAATTTAAGAGATAATTTTTGAAAACCACAGCAAATCGTTAAATGGCATATTGATCAGTTGCCAGAAGTTAAGTAATTGCTTCAGTAAAGATGATAATTTAAGGTGACCTTCAGTATTTGTGTACTTCAATATATATGTCATATCTGTATGTCTATTCATTTGGCAGTAGGTCAGTAAATATTATCTTAATTCACCTTATAATTGATGGTGAACATTCAAGATGTACAAGTATGTTATGTTTCAATGCTATGTAGTACTAAAGAACTAAAAAATTTAAGATTTTAAGGGGGACCCATTTTTGCTAGGAACCCTGTTTTTTAAGGGGTATATACATTTTGGAAAGTTTTCAAGGCAGCCATATTGAATGGGTTGAATAACATTGCCTTTGTAGTAAAGAATTTGTTTAAATTAAGTTAAATTATTTTATGGTTATGATCAAGATTTTTTGCCAAAATATTTATCATATCATTTACCAAAGTGTTACACAGATTAGGAATTTTATATTTAATATTTTCATTTTTATATTATGTGTTGTATTATTAAAAATATATGTGTGTGTGTGTATATATATATATATATACTTATTCCCATGAAATATTTTAGATACATCTTTGAGTTCATATTTCATGAAATGTTTATTGGGGAAAAAACATTCCTTTTCATTATATCCATGTCGTAATTGGATTTTTCAGGAAAGACAATGGGTGTAATATCTTGTCAGTTAAGATATTTAAATATATATATTTATATATTGATAGTGTGTTTCTTTGCCAACTTTATAATTGTTATTAATTCCGTACAGTATTTGATCAAGAGAAAGAACAGTAATTGTTAACATATACTTTTAATATATTAAATAGCCAATGGCGATGATGTATTTGGATGTGTGTACATTAAGTCATTTTGTTTAGCATTTTTGATGACTTAGTGCATTTTACATTTATGCACTCTAAAAACTTAGGTAAGAGTCCATCTCATTGGAACCATCCTGATTTCTGGAAAGCATTTGACAGTGTTAAAGGCATATGGTATTCAAAATGAATAAATGATTTTAAGAAGGCATTTGATCTGTTAAACAAAAATGAACATTTATTTTTATGATATTTATTGTTACCTTGTATTCCATTTCTATTGAATGAAAGAATGCATGGTAAGTGCATTGTTTTATTCATTCTTTTTTTTTTCATTCTTTTAGTTTGACCTTCCTGGGCTTGCTGATTTGAAAACTGGTCTGTTTGCACCTGTGCCAAAGGAAGAAAAGAAGAGTGAAGACAAAAAAACTACAGATGACTTACCAGTAACAGACTACAGTGTAGATGAAAACTACAAAGTTAACAATGTAGATTCTAAGAAGGAAAAGGGGGGAAAGGGCAGTGCTTCAGAATCTGAATCTGAATCTGCAAGTGGCTCAAGGTCAGTTAAAGGTCTATCAGGATCGTGCTGTAATTTGCCATAGACTATTTTTTAAAGTTTACTATCATTTTACTATTTAAGTAATGTGAAACTTGGTTATAGTAACACTTTTTTTTTATTTTCACAGGATTTTATGAATTATTGCTGTGATATTTAATAAGAAATTAAGAAGTTTCGGAAAAAAATTATTTTTGTTTTTTACATAATGATGCCTATTCCAGCTCTGAATCGGAATCCGAATCTGGATCAGGAAGCTCATCAAAGTCCGAAACTGGATCAGGATCTGGGTCAGGATCAGAATCTTGTAGCCAATCTGATGATGATGACGAAGATGATGATGACAACGACTCTAAGAATCAGAAAACACAGCAGAAATCGCCAAGGAACTCTGCAAGAGAAGTCAAATGTGAAACTGAGGACTCTTTCTTAGATGTAGAAGAGAATTCCATCAGTGAAGCAGTTAAGTCACACTTACCTAAGAAAGTGAGAATAAAAGAAATCAAGGAGGTAAATACTCCTTTTTCAAATTTACTAGAATTTGACATGCACATAATTTCTATTCATGGGAATTAAACTCAATGTCGTTAAATTTTTATTTACATTGACTTTATTATTATTTTTTTGAAGTGGAATATTGATATATCTTCACTGAAATGCCAATCACTTTTTTCATGCTTATGACAAGAGATTTTTAACTTCTGAGAAATTCGAAATGGTTAAAACTATTTATTCAGAAATTTGTCAGAAGTTGTTTATAAATTAATTGCATACAGTATTTAATCAAGTGAGTTAAGTTTAGTTTTAATGCTTATTACTTGTGTTACAACAATATTCCTTTTACATTTTTGGTAGTCATGGGAAGTGCAACCAGATCTGTATGGAGTTAGAAGGTCAGGAAGGCAGAGAAAGGAGCCCACCAGACTGAATGTGGGAGGTGTAAGTTAACTGCTTGCTAATTTTCTTTTAAAATGCAAACTGATGTGCGTAGATGAAAGTAAAATGCAATATGTTTCTTGTTTGGTGTTTAGTTGACTTGAAATAGAGATATCACTATAGACTGGTTTTCACAAAGTCCAATTTATTTACAGGGCAGTGATAGTGATGATTTCAAGCCAAAGAGAAAAGGTGGTAGAAAAAGGAGAGAGTAAGTCTGTACTCGGTCATTTTAAGCTTGTGTGTAGATTAAAATATTTCTTTAACTAATTATTGAAGATTGGTTAGTTTAAAAAACTTGATGTTACAAGTAGTATTGTAAGTCATAAAATGTTTGGTTTATTGAACTAAGATTGTGCAACACAACTCATATTATTATTATTATTATGATGGTTTTACAGCTCTGAGGACTGGCGCAGCAGTCTTGGTGGAAGTAGTGATGATGACAGTGATAGTGATGAAAGTTCTAGAATCCAACCACGACGGAAAGCCACCACGAGGTACAATTCCAGACTGTCACATAAGAAAGGCTTGAATGATTGATTAGTGTTGTATCACTCAGCTTGAAAGCTAGTGATGTTCTGCACTATAAGTTGAGTTTTGAGTAATGGTATTATTACACAAAGAGTAATATTTATAAAGAATTGATGCTTTATTTTCAGAACTCAAGCCAGAAGTAGGCCGAATGCCAGATTCAGTAACAATAAGTCAGTCAGAAATCGTCCTCCTGCAAGACGAAGAAAACAGTCTTCCAGTGAAGAGAGTGATAGTGATATAGATGGAAAGGAACGATTTTCATCAAGAAGCACCAATAAAAAAGTCAAGTAAGTAATCGATTTCTAGGTACTTACCAACTTTTTTTTTTTTTTTTTTGGGAGGGGGGGTGTCATTCTTGCATAAATTTGGTCATACTTACAATAAAAGATCAGTGAATTCAAAATTTCTGTAGCAAAACTTAAGTAATTAATAAATTAGTTTAAGGCAGATAGTTAACATTTCTTTTGAAGTTTCAGTCCTGCTCAGTTGTTACCAGGTATCGGTTTTATACCTCTTTGCATACTGTAGATTGATACTTTTATGAACAGCACAGTTAAGTTTGAAGTTGGGGTGGGGGGATTTACTGAAATTGGGCTGCCCAACTATCAGTTTGTAGACACAATCAATCTTGTCTTTGGGGGTGGGGGTTAATAATTTTCATTGAAACTTTAAACACACAGAGACCTTAACCTTAAATTGCACCCTTGGGTATCCTCTTTGATTTTTCCTAATAAAAGGATATAACTAGTTTGGATTCTTTGGAAGTTTTCAATTTTTCAGTGACTACCTAAGCATCTGAAAACTGAAACATTTTGGTTAAGACGTGAGCTCATGCTTCTGAGCAGGTGAAAAGGGCCTGTTCTTTGTATTATTAGTTTATGACTATTATCATTTATAAAAAGGAATGAGCTAGTGCAAATTAACTTGGAGCTAATTGGGCAACTTGATAAGTGTATGATTTATCTTGGTCTTTTTTTAAGGGCATAAATGTCCGAAGAACCTTTTGAACTCAATAGTTAACTTGATCGAGAGTTAAAAAAAACAGAAGTACAAGTTTGCCCAACAAATTTTGATGTGTCCATTAGTAGGTCATAGTAGAAACTGTTAACAATTTCCCTTTGATAAGTAGGTATGGTTGGGAGGAAAGGTTATTAATTAGATTCAAATTCAGTTACAGTTTCAGTTAATGGTCATTTTTGATCTTCCTTAGGGGTGGTAGGGGTCGCCCATCACGAAGGAAAGTTGTAAAAAAGATTAGGTAAGACCCCTGTGCCCAACTATGCCATTCCTGCACGCCTGCTTTCCTGCAACATATTCATGGATGAAAGTGTTTTATGTTGTGATGGTTTTGTCTATTTCCACTGAGACAGCTCCCACATCTCTAAGTTTTCAGTGAATAATATTACTTTTTTCACTTTCACCCATGTATATTGTACATTTGCTTACCTTGTTGAGGGTTATTAAGAATTTTTAGAACCTTCTACTCAACAAAAGCGTGATGGGGATAATTGCCTGTTTTCACAAGAATTACTGTTATTTCAGTGTCCTCCTTCAGAGCTTTAGACATGAAGTGGCATCTTTTCAGTTTTTAGTATTTTGCCTGTGCAACATGCATGTATTAAATACATTCATGATTGATTATCATTGGGAGTAAACTATATCAGATTTGTGCTTATAATTTCTTTGGTCTTTCAGGCGTTCTTTTTCTTCCTTTGTGCTTGACACATTATTGCACTTGGGCTTAATGGATACTTCATAGTGCATGGATCTGGTCTCTGGCAATCTTTCTGATGTGCATGCCAAAAATGTCATTTTGTCATTGTCTGGTGCATGCCTGCACTCTTTTCAGTCTTACTTTCTCGTCAATCTGTATTGGCTCTTTGGTTGTTGGACACAGTGTTTCCCATGTAATACGTATGTCTTTATTTGATGGGCAAGAAATGGTTTTTGTCCAATGTTTTGTAGTCAGTTTTTAGCATCCCTATCAAAATGAGTGGTGATCTTTGGAGCAGGTATAAGGACAGAAGGTGATGGTTGTAATATTTCTTATGGATTGCTTTTCAGAAAAAAGAACATCTGCTGTCAGTTGAATAAGGAAAGTTAGCTTCAAGTTATAATATTTTTAGTGTCTAATATATACTTTTACAGCTACAGAGAAGAATCTGAAAGCCAGACGGATTCTGATGATTTGGTGGAGGTGACAAACACACAGGTAGAAGATGTCAATGATAATGCAGAGACTATAGAGAGGGTGTTGGATACAAGAAAAGGAAAGAAAGAAGGTAAGTAAGCTGAAGCCTTTGTACAGAAACTTGGTGTCCGACATGCAGTGTGATCATTACAGAAATATTTTTCCTGGTGGAGGCATGCCTAAAAATATTAGTGCAGCAACTCGTGATATTTAACCACCAGTTTTGGGGAGTTTTGAATACTGACCCAAGTCAAATTTTCATGCAGACTTAAATTAAGAGAAATTATAAATAAGAAAGAAAGAAAGAAAACATATGAATTAATGAAGATGCAGATTGATATATCATCAGCTTCAGCAGTGAGGGAAAATATATTTTAGCAATAGGCAGCAAAACCACAATATACAATGTAGAAGACAATGGAGATCCCAATGATGGAGTAAACCCAGACACAGATGATGTTGTTGAACAGTACTTAATCAAATGGAAGGGCTGGTCTCACATTCACAATACATGGGAGAGTGAAGAATCCCTGCTTGAACAGAAAGTTAATGGAATGAAGAAGGTGGAGAATTTCAAGAAGAGAGAGGAAGAAATCAAAGAATGGTATGTGATAAGTGAACCTACTTCTGTGCAAGTGGTTTGTGGTGGTTTAGTAGAAAACTTTTTTTTTTTGTGATACTGTATGAAAGAAAAAAGTATCCTCCGAGTGATTAGTCAGGTAGCACAAGATTTGAACAAATAATCTATTTGACAATTGATTAGATCCATATGAAGGTATGCATTCTACACATTGAAAATCTGGCAGATTTGTTCAACAGGATTTTTGAAGAAAGATTCATGGATTCTGTCAGTGCCTGAATAAAAAGAAAGTTAGGAGGTGGGCGGGGGGTGAATTTGGCCTGCTTGCTGATAAGAGTGATGTTATATGACAATGAGACCCATCAGTACTGTTATGTAAGACTCGCATGTTGTCTAAAATGAAAGTTGTTATATTTCAGGACATCCAACAGCAGCCCAGAAGATATAGAATATTTCCAGTGCCAAGTAGAGATGTCTCTAGAGCTTTTAGAACAGAACAGAATCGTGGAGAGGATTATAGGTGAGTTTTTTAACTTGGCAATGGCAGCCCTTGGTGAAAGCAAGCCAAAGTGCATGAATTAGTCTACTTACTGAGTATAAAATTTTTAAAAAGTGAGGACCACATTAACAGATGGGATCAATTTGATTTATTTCTTGATTGCTCTCCTGAATTGGACAGAAGTAACTGTTTTAACTGCCCTTTCATGCTCCAGCTCATAGTAATGTGAAAGGCGTCAGTGGTCAGCCTGATTATTTATGCAAGTGGCAGGGACTGCCATACTGTGATTGTACATGGGAGGATGGGGGACTCATCAGCAGAAAGTTTCCTAAGGAAGTGGAGAGCTATGAAGCACGTTACAAGTCACAGAAAATTCCCAGCAAACTCTGTCGAGTGAGTGTGATTTTAGTTAGACTTGGTATATATATTTTTAAGTACAGTATATGCAACTTGGTTGAAAGTTTAAGAAAACTTATTTATAAATAGGGAACATGAAAAAGGGAACATGAAAAAAAGGTAAACTATGCCGAAAAAGTTTATTCTTAATATTAGCTGTGTGGATGAGGTGCTATGATGGAGATGTATATTATGAACCTCTTGGTAATATTCTTTAGATGCTTCAGATTTTTTGTTTATATTGTATCAGTATGTCTGGATACTTTTTGCCACATTTTCTGTGGTCGTTAACAACAATGTGATATTTCAGGCCTTGAAGTACCGTCCCAAGTTTGTTCCTTTGAAAACCCAACCAAGCTCTATAGGTGGCCCTGAACAGTTGACTTTGAGAGATTATCAGTTAGATGGGCTGAATTGGTTATTATCCACATGGTGCAAGTAAGGATTGCCTTTGTACAGTTTGTAAAGATTTAGATCCAGTTACCTTTTTAGTTATCTTGAAATACTACATTCAAAAGGAAATTGAAATTGAAAATAATATTGAAAATGAGAAGTACCAGCCCTTTTAATCAAGTTTGGAAAAAACTGTCACTTAAATATTTTGATTATAAATTTATTTATTTATTAAAACTAGAAAATGTACTACTAATATTTTCCAGGGATAACAGTGTGATCCTTGCTGATGAGATGGGTTTAGGGAAAACCATACAAACAATAGCATTCCAGTCTTATTTAAGCCACACCCATCAGTTGTATGGTCCTTTCCTTCTGGTTGTGCCTTTGTCTACAGTGGTTGCCTGGCAGCGAGAATTTGCACAGTGGGCTCCTGATATGAATGTTGTAGTCTATTTGGGAGACATCAACAGCAGGAATAAGGTACATGCTTGCTTAAATGTATTATTTGGATGTGAAAAAGCATATGCATTTTGGAAATATTAATCAGTGAAAACAAACACTTTTATACCATTCTGACCATTAGGACTTTAAGCTGTTTAAAAGGGCATGTGCTATGCAGGTTAATTAAAAAAAGTTTTTTTCAGATAAGAGAATTTGAATGGTGCCACCTGGGAAACAAGAGATTAAAGTTCAATGTGTTGATAACCACATATGAAATCCTGCTAAAAGACAAGGTACATTTTAAAAATGCTTGTAACATTGTTTCATTTTCTTTTGTCAGAAATAAGCTGTGCAAATTTTTAAAAACCAAATGAGCAGTAATATTATCTATGTTATGACATGTAGTATGACATGTAGTATACAGTAGTTCTCTTCCATTGATATTTTGTACTTAAGTTAAAAGCAGCAGTGGTACTTGAATCAGCTTCATTTCAGAGAGTTATTTCATATTTTCCAGTCTTTCTTGGGGAGTGTGGCCTGGGCATCCTTGGCAGTGGATGAGGCTCACCGTCTGAAAAATGATGACTCCCTTTTGTACAAGTCCTTATTTGAGTTTGACACAAACCATAGACTGCTTATAACGGGTACTCCTCTGCAAAACTCTCTTAAGGAGTTGTGGTCACTTCTTCACTTCATTATGCCAAATAAGTAAGTAGAATTTTGTCCTGATATTTATATTTTTTGCTCTCAAGACTGCAAATAAGTGACTGGTGTTTTTAAGACAAGTACTGTGTCTGGTCTACCATTGCAAATACATATATTATTACTAGTTTTTGTTTTGAAATATGGTAAGCGTATAACTGATATTTCCCCATCTTCATGTTGCAGGTTTGACTCTTGGGAGGATTTTGAAGAGCGCCATTCATCAGCTGACAAGACTGGCTTTTCTGCCCTTCACAAAGAACTAGAACCATTTCTGTTGAGGAGAGTGAAAAAGGATGTGGAAAAATCTCTTCCAGCCAAAGTATGTTGTTTAAATACTTGAAAAGGTGTTGTAGTTAACATATTGTAAACAAAAACACTTTAGACTAAATAAATTTGATTTGATCTTATTTTTACCTTTAAGTAAATTAGAGATCATTGATTGAAAATTATCCATTAAAAGATTTGTTTCAGTGAATTGAAGGTTTCATTTTTCAGGTTGAACAAATCTTGAGGGTGGAAATGAGCAAGATTCAGAAGCAGTATTACAGGTGGATCCTTACAAAGAACTACAAAGCTCTGAGTAAAGGTGTCAAAGGCAGCATATCTGGTTTCATCAATCTGGTGATGGAGCTGAAGAAATGTTGTAACCACTCCCACCTAGTGAGAGGCCCAGATCCAGAAGAGGAGCAGCAACAGGACAGACTATCAGTAAGCAGTTTGAGCGCTTTTGGGAGTAATACTTGTTTAAACAAGTCTAGTTTAACACACTAATGTACACACTAATATATCTATAAAAGGAGTGAGATTTTTCCGACTATTGGTGGATTTCTGACTTTTTGGAAACCAAAATTTTTTTGGCCTAGGCAGCTATCTCGACCCCACTCCATCTAATCTCAATTTAAGACTTAACAGAAAAACTTATAAATCCGTAAGTGGGAGTAAAGAGATGCTACCTCTCCACCGTTTCTGCATGTGAGCATAATGTCAGCACTTCATCTCCTTTTCACCTATTTGAATAGTGTTCTATACATGTGTGACACTTCACTTACCATGGCTTTTACTCTCCAGAATCTGATTCGGTGCAGTGGGAAGTTAATACTCCTGGACAAACTGCTGTTGCGTCTCAGGGAAACGGGCCACAGAGTACTAATATTTTCACAGATGGTGCGAATGCTGGACATTCTTGCAGAATATCTGCAGTTAAGACATTTTCCATTCCAAGTAAGTGAATCCTTACTTATCTGTTAATGATATAGTGGCAATAAGTGGGCAATAAAATTGTGTAGTTGAAATTCTGGTTGTATGAAGTCTACTTTTTTATTTTATTTACTTAATTATATATCTGCTTAGATTTTATAGAAGAATTAAAAAAGAAAGACACATGATAAGAAAATGTATTTCATTATTAACCATCCTGTAACTTTTTGGTTTGACTCGTTTTTAGAGGTTAGATGGGTCTATACGAGGTGAGTTGAGGAAACAGGCCTTGGACCATTTCAATGCAGAGGGATCCCAGGTATGTGATCTATATATGTATGTTGAGTACTCCATAAATATATACCTGACTGTGTATGCTGTATAGAGTTACATGTGTATAGTGTGGATTCTAATTTATTTACTTGAGGCTTGATGTTTGAGAATGGACTTGTTACTCATAGGACCAGTATTTATTTTAAACTGTCAGTTTGCTTCATCTTTTGTTAAAGGATCAGCTAGCAGTTTGTGGCATGGTAATCATGCTACTTAAAATATTGGGCACTTTTTGATTGACTTAACAAGCTACTCAATGACATATATGCATTTTCAATTTCCAGGACTTCTGTTTCCTGCTCTCCACACGTGCTGGAGGGCTTGGTGTGAATCTTGCTACAGCAGACACTGTGATCATCTTTGATAGTGACTGGAATCCTCAGAATGACCTGCAGGCTCAGGCCAGAGCTCACAGAATAGGGCAGAAGAACCAAGTACTTATTTTATTGCATCTTAAATGAGACTTACTGCATCTGATAATACCAGATTTTTACAGACTAACTCTCAAGATGTCAGGTTTAGTCTGCTTCTAGTCCTAGTTGGCTGTAATGTTAACACAGCAGATGGTTACTTTTTTCCTCCCTTAGCATAAATTATTGACTTTTTGAAAGTCTTCAGATTTTCATTTTTTTTTTTTTTCTTTTCTATAGGTTAGTGTGTATCGTCTTGTGATAAAAAATAGTGTAGAAGAAGACATCATTGAACGTGCCAAAAGAAAGATGGTTTTAGATCATCTCATCATCCAACGAATGGACACTACAGGCAGAACGGTGCTCAACAGAGGGTCAATGCCCGGAGCTAGGTAAGAGGTGTTCAGTTTTTGGATGTTAACTGAATTTAGCTTGCTAATTCATAAGTGGATGGAAAAGCTGTCAAAGGTACACATTCAGCCAGTCAGAAGTAAAATTTTGTTATCTTATTCATAATTGCACTATTTCTTTTGTTCTCAGTAGAATCTACATAACTTTGATTTTAATTCAGAGCTTTCATTAAACATTTTTTCATTTTTTTTCTTTTAGCTCTAGTACTCCATTCAACAAGGAGGAATTGACTGCAATTTTAAAATTTGGTGCTGAAGATCTCTTTAAGGAAAATGAGGGCGAGGAGGAAGAACCTCATGTGGACATAGATGACATCCTGAGTAGGGCGGAGACACGGGAAACAGAGGATAACCACAGTGTTGGGGAGGAATTGTTGTCTGCTTTCAAAGTCGTCAGTTTTGACAATATGGAAGATGAGGAGATTGAAAATATTCATAGGGAAGAGGCAGAAAAGGGTGATTATTTGGATATTTATTTTATTATTATTATTGTTTACACAAACTTACATGCACACAATGATGTTCAGATTGTGGTTGGTGTGGCAGTTTTTTCAGGATCTTTATTTTTATGTTGTGATGCAATTTTTTTTTTCTTGTCATAGCAAAATCCTGGGAAGAAATCATACCAGAAAATGAAAGGCAGAAGGTTGAAGAAGAGGAAAGGCAGCAACAGCTACTAAACCTACACTTACCCCCTAGGAGTAGAAAAACCCTACAGCAGGTGAATAACCACTAATTTTTTAGTGTGAAAGGCTTAAGTTAGAGTAATTGATCATCAAAAAATGATTAGCCTGGTGTGTAAAAGAAACTTAAGAATTTCAAGCCTTTATAAACTGTCATTGTTAATGTTACTTCAGCTGGACCCTGACTATGAACAGTCTGATGCTGATGGTGGAAAAAAGAAAAAGAAAGGCAGAAAACAGGAGGAGGAGGAAGACGAAAGTAGTGACAGTGATTCTGGAGATGATGATAAGCCCAAGAAACGAGGCCGTCCACGGACTGTGGCTAGAGACACCATCAAGGGTTTCACAGACGCCGAGGTTCGCAGGTTCATCAGAAGTTTCAAGAGATTTGGAAATCCTCTCAGCAGGTGAATAAGCAAACTTGATTAATAACATGAAGTTAAACTTCATTATTATAATGGTACATGATACAGTATTAAACTTTGCCAGTCGTATAAAGTAATAATTTCTCCTAATGATAGCACCCATGTCAAAGTATCAGTTTGCCTTACTTCTGTTGATATTCCAGACTGGATGCCATAGCCTGTGATGCTGAGCTGTCTGAGAAGTCCCAGGCTGACCTGAAGAGATTAGCTGAGCTGCTACACAGGGAGTGTGAGCAGGCCATGGCCGAGTATAAAACCAAGCTAGAGGAGGATCCAAACTTTGAAGGTATGTTCAAATATGGTGCATGAAGTTGAGTCATTGTTTTCATGCCACTGAAACTAAAAATTTTCAAGACAGCTCCCACAGAGATGGAGAGAAAGCTGAGAAAAGAACACCATAACTGACTGTATTGCTGCTGTAATTATTTTTATTAAAAATGCAAGTAAGATCAGTTAAATGAAAGTTCTGTTATACTAGTAAACATAATATAAAAAGTCTAATACTTGTGATTTCTGAAGCAGGCAAGAAGACCCACCGTGGTCCAGTGATCAAGTTGTCTAGTGTGACAGTGAATGCCAAGTCAGTATTAAGTGCCATGGAGGAGCTGGAGCCTCTCACCAAAACCATTCCAGCAGAAAAGGAAGAGAGGAAAAAGTATGTATATTGTTTAGTATTAAATATTTAATTTCCGAAATTTTGTCCTTTTGACAATGCCCAGATGCCGTTTCATGTTTTATGTTTGAATTATAGAAAAAAATTGGTATTTTATTTTGAATGTGTAGGGATAGGCATGATGGACTTTGTTTCACTCTGATTAATTGGTACCTTTACCCTCATAATAGAGTTACAGTTTTTGGTCATGACCAAAAATTAATTTTTACCAGAGACGGTCAAAATGTATTCAGATTGAGAAAGGTGGATGATGGTAAGTGCACCTATAGCTAATGTGAACGTGTGGATGTTTCAGGTACACACTCACAGCTAGGGTGAAGTCTGCTAACTGGGACTGTCCCTGGGGGGAGGAGGAGGACACCAGCCTTCTCAAAGGTGTCTACGAATATGGAGTGGGAAGCTGGGAAGCCATCAAGATGGACCCAGACCTAAATTTACATGACAAGATCTTGCCTGATGGTGATCTCAAACCTCAAGCCAAGCACTTGCAAACCCGTGTTGACTATTTGCTCAAGATTCTTAGAAAACAGATGGAACCCAATAAAGGAGAGGTGGGTGTGAGGTTTTTGGGGTCAGTTGAAATCATGTGTAATGCATTACTTATTAAGTGTTGACTTATTACTTCAGTTGAACATTAACAAAACGTGTTACAGTTGTATGCTTTCCTCTCAATAGGATGAAAAAACAAAACCCAAGAAGCAAAACAGGAGGAAAAAGAAAGCTAGTGAATCTGAGAAAAAGGAAAACATCAGTTTAGATGAGTCAACGATGGATGTTGGAGATAGTAAGCTGGAAAGTCCAAAGAAGAGGAAAGGGAAGAACAAGAAGGATGGTGAGGAGAAGGGAAAAGACAAGGCAGCAGAGGAGAAGAAAATCAGGAAAAAGGAGAAGAAAGAGAAAAAGGTAACAGGGCTCATTTGTAAAGTAGATGAGGGTAAAAGTACGACTTAAACAACCCCCAAAATATTATAATACATTTGATGAGAGATATGAAAAGGTGGTATGAAATCTTTAGATATATGCATTTATATTTATTTTTTTGTACTGTAGAAGAGTAAGAAGAAGGCAGCTGGTCCAATGCATTTTACTGCCAACTCTGAACCAGTATCTGTAGCAGTTGAAGATTTGGAACCCTCCACATTTAACGAGGTTAGTCAAATTCTTCTTTTTAAATTGCCAAGTTGCTTTTATAACATTTAAAGAAAGTTGAACAGTTAAAAGAACAAAACTTGGGTTAAAAAATTTTTTCATTTCAGTAGGTTTACCACATCATTAAAAAAAATCTTTGGCCTGGAAATTATTTCTTTACCTGAGTATGCCTTTATGACTATTTTTCCAAGAAATTCATCAGCATTTACTGTAATCTCTCCCAGTGCAAAGAGAAAATGAGACCCGTGAAGAAGGCTCTCAAACAGCTGGGCAACCCTGATGAGGGTTTGTCTGAGAAGGAGGTGCTCACACATATGAGGACATGTTTACTCAAGATAGGAGACCATATCAATGAGTGCCTGGGGGAATTCAATGATCCAGATAAGATTAAAGAATGGCGAAGGTATTTATATATATATAAACACACGTATGAATATGTTAATGTATTTGCATAGAGAGATACAGTGAAAGATGGGTTCATTTATGTTGCAGTGTAGATGCCCAGGTTACTCTAACAGTCTCTTCTTGTTTTGTTTTAGCTAAATATTTGATTTTTCACCAAGTTGATATTTAAAAAAAGGCAAAATACTACTCTTTCCAAGCTAAATTCCTCTGTTTTAGGCATATGGCTATTTTGGCAAGAGCATTAGATAAAGAGACTCATCAAAATTTAAAGAAAGTGTTTTCATGGGAAAAAAGTGCTATGCAGTCATATATGTCTATGTTTGAATATGTTTTTATCAATAATTGTAAAAAGGCTGTTTAATCTATGTTTTTTAGCAATCTGTGGATCTTTGTCTCCAAGTTTACCGAGTTTGATGCAAGGAAGCTTCACAAGCTGTACAAACATGCTTGCAAGAAACGTGAAGAAGAAAGGGACAGAACAGAGGTCAGTACAGATCTTCAGGTTCAAACGTTGTCTTAAAACTACTCGGGGCAGGAATTTTAATCATTTGAATTTGTTTTCATATATAATTTAAGTGTAGTTAGGTGGAGTTTTGCAGTGAAAGGTTACTTTTCTTTTTCAGGCATTGAACCCAGAAAGCAGTCAGGGGGAAACTGTTAATCAACAAAGTAGGAGAGGCAAGAAAAGACCTCTAGAAGAAAGTAAGCAGAGGAAATTAAAGAGGCAAGCTGAAGGAGAAAGGAGTAGAGATAGGTTGGTATAGCTATTTAACACAATATAAATGAACTGTCTTATCTTCTGGGCAAGGGAGAGCAGTGAGTATAGACTTGAACTGTATGTATATTGTCCAGTGAGCATGCGTAATAGGGCTTGCCATGGCAGACTTGTTTGCTTTGTAGTCCTACTGGCGCCTTGGTCACGTTTCCTTACAGGCCCTGCATGCTAGTATGGGGAAAAAACTGGGTTGTGTTCCCTCATGTTCGTGTAAACAAACTTTTTTTACCAAATTTGACAAAAGAATTAAGAAATGAGGAAATGAAACTCGTGTCACTAAGCAGTTCTTGATGTTTGGTTTATGGGACTGTGAAATTTTGCTTGTATAAGAATTGCCTATAATTATAGGAAATGTGAACTCCTCAAAGTTTTGTCCACCTGTAATATTTTGCCTACCATCATCACTTGAGAATTTTATATTATAAGAAGAACATTCATATCTGCAACAAATACTGGTATGTGTTCTCACCAGTGTGCTCCATATGTGTAAGAAGGGCGGGCTTGAGGGTAATTAAAAAAATTTTTTTTACAAGCAGTTCTAGGAACCAGAAGATGTTTTTGTTATCTACTGTATTTGCCATTTTGTGATATTTGGAAAAGAGCCCAGGCCCTTTGCAAGGTTGTGTACATGAATAAGAAATTCCCCAGCATTTGATGCAGACAGGAATGCATCATGGGGTCTTGTAAAAGTGACCACACTTTTTCTGAAGGGGGCAAATTGCTTTTTATTGAGGAGTTCAGTTATCACTTGATTGTGCCATTTTGTTGGCTGCTTTTATATGCATGTGCATAAGACACTCTGAATGAATTGAACCAGCCTTCGACTTTTTATTTCTATATTTATTTTCCACTGCAGTACTACCACTTCCAGTGTAAGCAATGGGCAGCGTGCCAACACCAGCACCTCCTATAATAACCACCCACCGTCTTTCCGTAATGTGCTTGCTAGTGGGTGGGAAGGCAGTACGAATAGTCCTCTCAGTAGGTGGCAGCACGCTAGCCCTCTTTCCAGCATTGACGAGCAGCAGAGAAATCGGTGAGTACAAACTGTAACTGGTGGGATCTTCACAAGCATAAAGTTTGCTTTTCATTTATATATAGCCAGGATGATGTATTTTGTAGTTCTCAGATGAAAATTTATTTGTCAGCATGGGCTAAAAATTGCATGTTGGCTTTCATCCTCGTTTGTTATATTGTGTTGTTTTTAAATGCTTGCTGGAATAAGTGTTTTGTTAAAGCTTTTGTCTTTGTGTATAGAAGTTAATTGACATAGTTGAGATTTATGGTTTAGGTTATTTTAAATGATAAAAACTGGTTGTAATTTATCTTCCAGTCACTCTGAAAATTCCTATAACCGTCCTCCTCCTAATGAGGGCCAGCGTAGCTTCCATCCTGGTGCACATGATGTACCTCCACGGTGAGTGGTCAGCATGGCTGAATGACTCTGGACTGATTGTGTCATTTGAATTTGTAGAATGCTGGGGGATATGTTTTTTTTTTTTTTTTTTTTTTTTTTTTAGATCTGATTCAATAAAAATTATTGTTAAGTGATTTTATTTAATAATTATTTAAAAAACATTGAAGGACTACTGTTACTACGCGGTTCTGGATCAAGTCATGAAAGACCTCTGGAGTCTTCTTTGTATTTAGTCATTCTTAGCTGATGACTGTCATAACAATGGTATTTCCTCCCAATTCCATGGGCTGGATAAAAAAGCCAATAAATGGCAAGAGGTTGTCAGCTGAGAGGGACACAATGAAACTAGACCTTGCTAGCTGATCTATAATTCAGCTTGTCAAGCAATTGGTTAAATGTTCTCCTTCTAATCTCAGGGAAAACATGTGGAATCATTTTTGGTACTTCATTAAAACTTTGTAGCAAGGCAATTGTCCTGTGGTCTCAATATGATGTGCTTCACTGTGCTTACTCCCATAAAAACTATATTTTTCGTGTCTTTCTTAGGGAACACAAGCGGCAAGACTACTACCATCGTGACAACTACCATCGCTATGACAGAGAGTATGGGAGAGAGTACAGTCGGGAGCACAACAGGAATAGGGAACACAAACAAGGGGAGCACAGGTCAGACTTCCATCACAGGGGAGAGCGCCCTGACAGACCTGACTACAGGGCAGGAGGAGACCAGGGAGCACACAGGCATGAGGACAGGTAGGACTGGGGAAGAGATATTCATTGCTTTAACTGTCAGAACTTGAAAATTAATTTTTTAAAAAAGATGATAGTACAGTTTTTAGATTTTAATTTATTGATGACATCCACACTTAAACAAATTTGACTTTTTTCAAAAGGTAAATATAGTAGACTAAGTTTGCAGTAAATGACTATCATGTTCATATAAGATTGAGAGTGTACACAGTTGAAAAACATTCAGGAAAGGGTAAGTTGCATATTTCGTCTTTTTTTTTAGATATCGTGGAGAGCGAGATAGAGACAGAAAGAGAAAATCGGATTACTATGACAGAGACAGAGGCCGAGACAGAGAAAGATCAAATAAAGATCCCAGAACTGAATACAGAAGTCCTTCGTCCAAGGATGGACTGCATCAAAAACAAAGCCAAAAATCCCATAGGCCTTCCCCTAAAGACCACAAACCAAATGCAAATATATCATCTCCAACTGAACAGTATCACAGGAGTTTACTGGAAGACACTAACTCTGGAGATTCCTTCAATAAACCGTCTCTGAAGTATGGACACTCTACGCCAGACACAAGCCAAAGTGTATTATCACCGTCAGATTCTATGACACATTAGCATTTTCACACTGAACTGCCTTTCAGCACCATTGCCCAGCATTCCCTTCAGATCAGTACTTGCCAAACAGATGCTGTGCCTTGATTTGAAGATGGGTGGGAACATTTAATATGGGCAGTGGACCATTCATATTTTAGTTGTCTGGTAATAAACAGTGTTTTTTCCCCTTAAATTGCTTGCAGAGCAGGGTACATTTCCTATGTATTTTATCCCAGGCATATGTGTCACAGCTGGTCACAGAGCTTTCTAGATGTCCATGATAAACATCTAGGCAGAGTGCAGCTGACGTGTATGGGCTGATTGATATTGGTCTATTTTCTTTAAAATCCATTGCCATTGTTTTACATTTATTTATTCCTGCAATTATTGGTATTTTCATTATTTTTCTGCATTAGTTGTGAAAACTGACTTACATGCATTGAGACCTGTCTTTTGAGTCAATTTTGTCTTTAGAATTGACCACAATAGAATCGTGATTAAATTATTATTGTTAACTGTTTACAGAGAGTTACAATTGAGGATGCAAGTGATATTGCGGAAAAGCTCCAGGTGTCAGTTGTATTGGTGCAATATTAAGAACCCAGTTCGTTAAGTTATTTGTCAGCATTTAGCTTGGTACTTATTTTTATCACAGTTGATATGCAATATTTCAAGAAATTTTCAAGGGTGTCACATGGACAGTGATTTGATATCGATATGTGTGGGGAGCTATTTGCTGAGCGCTTCGATGATATTCACTAAGTGAACAACATGTGCCCTATGGGAAGTTCTTTGGAAGTTTTGCTCCCGTAGCCTTACGCGCCAAGGAGCTTACCGTAGTGGAGCAAAGAGGCGTGGCTATATATATTTGAGATGTGTTCTTATGCTCGGTATCCAATGTTCCATCGAAAAAAGAACAACATGCATGTCTGTTGACGTATTCAAGCCACAACTGGACGAACTAAAGACTAACTGGAAATTTTCCCAAATATTTCCTGTACATGCGAATTGTATTGTTGTACATTTCATTTGTATTTCATAAGTTTTGTACAGATCCTATTGTACATAAAATTCTACGAATAAAATGCAGTATAAATTTATGAGTTACCATGCTTCTCCATTTACGATAAATATGTCTGACTCTTCATTTTCTCGGATTTCAATACCAAACGCCTCAAACATTTACTATTTATTAAAAGTGGAGTTCATTGTGTATTGAAGCATAAAAATTACTAGATGGGAATCCTAAACTGATAATAAATTGATTCGATTTTAACGGCAATTTAGTAGGAAGCACTTCTGCTGAATAAAAAAAACGTGAATTATAACTATTTCTGTTGAATTGAGCCTGGTGATAAACGGAATTGAAAAAATAAAATTTGCTGATGTTGGGGAAGGCGGAGAGCTGTGACAAATTAGTTTTATCACAATGACAAATGTGAAGGTATGGGCCATCGGAAATGTCAAGAATTGTGAGGTGTGGTTGATGACCAAATTCTTTTAACAAAGAAATGCATGTGGGTCACAAAACAAACGGTTTGTCAAACGAGGGTGGTTGTTAAATAATGGATTACATAAATATCACATGAAATGTCGACATAAACCTCACAGAATATGCCATGCAAGGAGAACTCGTATTCTTCTTGGGGATTGTGGATCAAAAAATGCCCTGCCAATTATCTTATAATTAACTGCCACTCCTGCTTGCTGCACGGCCCGCAAAGCGGCTCCCTGCTCTTCCCGCTGCAATAATCATGGTAATTATGTGCTCGGAACAACAAACACATTTGGCCTGCGTGGTTACCAGCAGTGTGCCCATGGGAGGACGAGTGTGTCGAGAATTGTTTAGAAAACAAGAACTCTCCCGATAATAGAGTCATACGATCCTATCCAAATAATACGGACTGACCAGCACCCGTCTTTTATTTCGTTTTCAGGAAATTCATCGCCTTCTGGCGAAAGATTAATTGACCTCCCAGACTTGAAAAAACACGGTCATATATGACTAGTTATGGAGGTTTAAACTGGTGTGGATTAAGTGCATATTTCTGGAATGAAATCGCCTACTCTAGTGCTGTGAGATCTGTCAAAGTTAATTAAGAGAATAAAATCTCCATTTCAATATCATGCAAATTATGCAACTAAAACCGAAAATTGTCCATATACTGGAATATTTGCGTGCATTGTGATTCTGGAACCATTGCTGCAAAGATCGTCAAGTCAGAACGAATGTAGGCATATTGCTAAGTGAGGAATGTTTATCATTTTCGGCAGCAAGCTTGCAGCCAGAAAAGTATCTCTTTAATTAATTCTTCCCTTTTGTCCGTGTCAATCAGCCATCTTGATGTGTGAAGTCTGTCTGCTTTATTTCAGAAAGCGCGGCGAGCAGCAACATTTTCCGTTCGGGCTAATGTTTCTTCTGTCGATCATCGCTGCGAGGGCAGAGCATCTCAGACATGTTAATCATTTCTTTTGTACGATGCGGGCTATGCTTTGTACCTGCCAACTTATACATTTTTGTCTTGTTCTCTCTGCATCCTGCCCATTCCAGAACTCGGCGAGAGGTGATCCGTAAAACCTGACGAAAAAAATGAGTCCTGGAAAAACAAAAAAGGGTGTTGTCCGGCGCATATACCTCTCTGCTGATTGATCTTCCATACAGCGAAGGGTATCCTTAAACACGCAAAGCGTTTGTTAAAGAGATTGGACGCGTCCTATTTTACTTCAGTTCACAAGATTGGGGGTTAAGTTATTACAGTAATGAAAGTGTTGATACGTTAAACGTATGTCGATTCGTGCCAAAAGCAGCTGCAAAGTTCATCAATCTGGCTCAATGGTATTTTGTTATATTACTGTTGGCACTTTTTCCCAGCGCCGGTTTGGCTTAAAAACAAGGCGAAAAGGGCGCTTCAGCTTGATGAATGCATTCAAATAGAACGACCCATGAATTTTGGTCGCAATTCTTTTGCTTACTAAAAAAAAAAGACGGGATAGTACTGCAGTGTTGATTATCAAATATCAGACATGTTTTGAGCTGCTTTTGCTTGTTTTTACTATCAAGAATAGAAATAAACAAAAGACAGCGTGCTTTCAAGCAGTTGGTTGACAATATTACTCTAATCGACGATACCCTGTCAAAATAAAATAAGTAAATGAAATGAAGAAATTAATGACTGAAAAAAATTAATAAAAGGCAAAATGGACATTTGTTTCAAAAAGCTTAACCAGTGATAGCAATATTTTATCCAGTTTATTTTTCTTAATTTCAAAAGGATCATTGTACGACCAGAACGAGTGGTATCTACATGTTTATTGAGGTTGCACAGGCCGGTTGTCACAGGTGCAGACTGCTAACCAGAAAACGTACTCAGATTTCTTAACACACACCTGCAGTTCGCTCGCTCTTTTTTTTTCATAAAGCTAATCGATCTTTTTTTCTATCATTTCATGACACTTATTTCTGATATATGTTTTCTTCAAGTTATAATTCCCACGGTTTTAGAGGGAAGAACAACCAGATGTTGCTATGTGGACCACGTCGCTATTTCCCGTCTTACTTGAAGCCTCGCGCTGGGTTGTCATTCAAAAGCAGCCGTGTGGTATTTAAAAATCTCAGTTTAGGCGACAGATTTTTTTCCTTTTCACAATACTTCATACGAGACTTTACTCCCCTTTTTATACCAATATTATATATAAAATTTGGCTGAAGTCAACTGAAAGTTTTCCGTTTCATTACATAAACTCAAATGTTGAGTCTTCCTTTTTTTGATTCACCAGTAATCAGAAAAAAGTTCCTAGCAGCTAAATGTCTTACAGTTACACTGGCTGCTAACTGAGACTTTTGATAATCTAAATGATTACACAACTGATGAAGCATTCCACTTAACGGTAGATAACGCATTGGTTATATTAAAAATATCAACCTCCACAATACGACCTTAAACGTGCAAGATCCAGGTATTCTACGTTTATACATTAATTTGTTTGAAAATACACCGTAAAAATAGAAACGCTTTTGCTACAAGTAGGTTCTACATGTAGTCACTGAATATAAACACATTAATCCCTCCTATCTATTCGTTCACACGCTTGTGAACAGAAATTAGCCAAATGTTTAAATAATTTTGCCTCAATATATATTTGCCAGCACAGGCACCGCACACCTGAGCGAAAAACTTGAGAACAGCGGTGGGGAGGTTGTCCTAATTAGCATAGCAAATAAAACATTAACGTCTAATTGCCCATTAGCCCTTCCCATCATGACTTTAAGAGGTGATGCAGGTATTTCGCTCCACCCGTCACGGGCGGCTGGTCGACCGACCGACTGGTGTCTTGCTTGCTTCAAGAAAATCCAACTGAAACCCACTGAAAGGCATTTGATCCGCCTCGTAGCACCTCCGGTCCACCGCCTTGACAGCCGCCTCAAAAAAGTGTATTCATTGCGAGATTGACGTCGCAACATTTGAAACCGATGTCGGCGCGATAGGTCACACCTATGCGCTCGCTCAAGTGCGAGACGCTTTGATCCGCGTTCCGGGCTCATGATGACGAACGTAGTTAAAGGCCTAAAGGAAAAGACATACATGCATCCCTCTTTGTCGGTAGAGGATTTGATTATGTGTCCCCCAACCATGAATTTCAAAGCCCACACTACAGCTCTCTGCCTTCAGAAAAACCTATGCATTGGCACGTCCCTGCTCCCAAGTAACGACTTGGAACACTAGCGCTTGATACTCAATGTACCCTGTACACGACAACATGACGGCTGGAGACATTTCACACTCCAGTATACAGAGACAGTCGTCTATCCGCGGTGAAGTAATGTCGAGGGTGATCTTTTGACACATTAAACAACTAAGCGGCGACAGAAGGATATTATTTATTGTGGTTATTTTTTGTTGGTAACAACTGATGATTCGTGGACCTATTTTGGTGTGTTTTGCTGCTGATTGCCGCTTTGAATATGTACATTATAAAGCAACTTTATACCCGCCTAAAGAAGTACACGTGAAAAAAAATCATGAAAGATAGGGGTCAAATAACTCGGGAGGGATGCAAAGTTGTTTGTAATACCACAGAACAACCTTTCTCGCCTCACGCACCTCTGTTGGCCAGTACCTAATCTGACGAACAAATAATCCGGTTTTTCGTTGGACACAGAAAGTAACAATACAGCACTCTGAATCTTCTCGGTTTGAAGAGGATTAAAGCCTGTGAGAGCTTCCAATTTGTACTCATCGTGAGTGCAATCAGGCCGAAAAATATTGTCGCCGAACAATAGCGTATTGAACGAGGGACGGGGGAGAGAGGGGCCCATTGATTGCCAGTTCCCCTGGTGACTATTGGCACTTTATATCAGACATTGCTATTTATGTCAACATCCAGTGACACGTCGCCGTGTACACAAACGGGGCACTTTTCACACCTGGGTCTCACCTGCTCAAACATAAGCAAATTAACTATTTAATTGCCTCCTTCATATGCATACTTGGCGCAGCTCCCTTGACTAATGTCTCCCTAACCCCTAATGAACTCTCGACAGCTCGTTGTGGTTCTGCTGGCACTGATTTCATTTGTCCAAAATCCCCCAAGGGCATGCAGACCTCTTTTTTCTACTTTGCCTACTTATATTTTCATGCCAAACGTTCTTTGAATAATAAAGGGGTAATTTTCACGTTGAGTTGCTGCAAGTTGAATGCAGACTTCCGTCGAGTTGACGCTTTTTAAATCAAACTATTTCTTTCTTGTGTTTACTTTAATGCAAAGTCTGCGCGTCCCAAGGGACTTAGTAAAATATTTGGCCTGTATTTCACACCTAACTCCACAGTGTGCCAGAGCAAAGCATAAACGCCTTCAGTCATACCAAATCATAAACAACCGTCGACATAACAAGAATGTATTTTACGCCTCTAACAATTTGACCCGGGATATATGACAGCCGCATATTGATAAGCTAGCTGAGAGTTGGCCTCTAGATGTAACCACTACCACAAAGCACCAGTTGCTTGGGAACTTTAAGCATTGCCCAGTGGGGTCCAGTTAGAGAGTTTATTGGATTTCTCCCTGTAAGCCGGGAGCGGTTTCGAGCCCGATCAATGTTATTGTGGGGAGCATTACGGGCTACTAACTGTGCCTTTGTCTGCCTTTTCTAAAGGGAAGGCTTGCAGGGCTTTTGTGTGCAACGGGCCCCAACATCTCATCGATTGGTGGCTGTGAAGCTTTTCACAAGCACTTGTATGCGAAATGAGTCCAATTTTAAGTCTGAATTTTGCTTCAGTGCCGAGCACTTACTCAATCACCGACCGAGCTATGCTTGGACGAGCCCGCTCACTCACCTGAATATCCCACCATCTGGTCACACCAAATACACCTTTACATTTTATTGTGCGACTATATGCACCCAAACATCACAACGCCAGAAACAAGCCTCCCTGTCCTGACGACCTTTATGAAAAATAAATTGGAAAACTATTCTTTTCACTTCCATCGATCCAAACCCCACGAGTTCGACTTGATACCTTCCACACTTGGTACCGGAATATGATCAATAATACTTAAATGCCGCATGCGGTTTTCCCTTTTTTTTCGGTCCTAATTTAATGAGGTCGGGGTTTTAAAAAGTGAAGAAAACCCCAAGTCGTCTTGAGCTATATGGAGCCAAGGCAACAAGTTTACCAATTAATGTTACAAGTGCCAAGTTTTCCAATGACATTTAACCTATTTGGTGTTAAAAGTAATGAGTGAATAGCACACCCAAAAACCCTAGCTGGGATTAATTAAACTGGATGTAGAAAGCCTGAAAGCAAATAGGTCTGGTCCTTCAACGATTTATTTGGAAAATATTCCATTTCTAGGCTGCAGCATTCTGTGTAAACTGCAACCGAGTTCGATCTATACACGATCTCATATAAGGACGCCAAGGGCCAACAGTCAACTTGGAAACTGTGGACACCAAAATATCGTTCGACTATGCACATGACCCATATGACCACGAAGTTTCTTTAGACAAATGTAACACCGATCACTCTTAGCCCAACGGAGTTAAAAGGGAATTAAGATGGGGATACAGTTGCCTATTTGCAAGAGGCCTATATACTTTTCCTGTGTAAGTCTGCAAGGGACGACCGAACTTGTCTAAACTGAAAGCTACTATAAGTATTAANTTTTAAAAAGTGAAGAAAACCCCAAGTCGTCTTGAGCTATATGGAGCCAAGGCAACAAGTTTACCAATTAATGTTACAAGTGCCAAGTTTTCCAATGACATTTAACCTATTTGGTGTTAAAAGTAATGAGTGAATAGCACACCCAAAAACCCTAGCTGGGATTAATTAAACTGGATGTAGAAAGCCTGAAAGCAAATAGGTCTGGTCCTTCAACGATTTATTTGGAAAATATTCCATTTCTCGGCTGCAGCATTCTGTGTAAACTGCAACCGAGTTCGATCTATACACGATCTCATATAAGGACGCCCATTGTCCAACAGTCAACTTGGAAACTGTGGACACCAAAATATCGTTCGACTATGCACATGACCCATATGACCACGAGGTTTCTTTGGACAAATGTAACACCGATCACTCTTAGCCCAACGGAGTTAAAAGGGAATTAAGATGGGGATACAGTTGCCTATTTGCAAGAGGCCTATATACTTTTCCTGTGTAAGTCTGCAAGGGACGACCGAACTTGTCTGAACTGAAAGCTACTATAAGTATTAAGTAAACTATCCTCTCCATAAGGTTACTTGTCATCCCCATCTCCATCCATTCCACGGGACAGCTAGGCTATCACGATATCTGTCAACTGGAGCCATCTCCACGTTGCAGCCCCTACAGCCACACGCTCCACATACACCTCTTCTGATATGAATTCGCTCTGATCACTATTGTAAGAGGATTTGGAGATTTTGACAATTTAATATGAGACATGAACTAAAATAAAGATCCGATACTGCAACTAAATTTATAATAAACAAACAAAGCAAGCAGAATATAAAACATCAAGAAGAATGAGTGTCTGCGACATTACTGAAAATCGAAATAGTGCAATATGAAATCGTATAATCTGTGATGTCACAGACACGCATCATCCCCGTTCTACTGATTATTTTCTAGTCATCTCACGGGAGAATACTTAAGACCGGGATATTAGCTTTAACTCTGAACCGATCTATCTGGCATATGATAGGTTTCGATTTGATTCTCTCCCTTGGGCTACAATTCATTTTTGCACGCACCAAAAGTGGAAAACTAAGGCAGCTATGCGTCATATTAATTTCTCCAAACAGCTGGGGCAGGCTGAACTTTCATTCTTACTTGATCGAACCACCCAGTTGTTTTCGAAAACTGAGGTAGACTTTAGGACGAATTGATACCAATTTATCACTCTCTAAAGTGCTAGGATCCGCAATTTAGGTTTTCTTCCAAAACTACGGCACATCCGTGTGCATAATATTTAACCATACACATTAAATACTACTTTCTTTTCATGCCAAGATGCTGTCATTATCAACTTAGGCAATTATCGCACAAGAAATGAAGGCAAGCCCTTTCTTTAATGGAAGCGGTTATCGGACAGGTCAAACTTGTCCATGGCACGTGAAAAAATGACCAAACAAAGGACACCACAAGGTGTAATTACGGACAAACAACCCTCGTAAGGTTCTTTATTTTACATCGTACGTTCGCACTCCAACGAGCACGGTTTCTCATTGAGAGAATAAGTTAAAATGGCGACACAAAAAGTAATGGTGGATTTCTACACGACTGGTAATGCGCATACATCATTCTATATGTGCTTTCGCGTCAGAGTATACTACTGCAAACAAAAGTGTTATCTAAGGCGAATCCTCCGCGGACTAAGTTGACGACAAGAGAACCAATGAAAGTAAACACTATACACTGATAAGCCAACCGGTGGCATTAGAAGACCGAGATTGAAAAATAAAGCTAGTGGCCTGTGTGGCCTTGCTAATACTAGATATTTGTTAACTGAGGACTGAGAAGTAAAAGATCGCGCATTAAAATTTACCCTGATGTGTTAAACAATGTACAGAAATGCAATATAAAAATTTTTCACTTTGTACAAATATGTGACATGAACTGTAACACTTAAAGTATATACAAATGGGCAATTACTGCTATGTGATGACACTGGACTCGCATTTACATACATACATTTCTATATACAGACTGGTTTTCAGTGGGAAGTGAAATGGTCGATTTTTAGCCACAGAGGACGCATTAAATTAATCCATTTTCACTATTACTTGACAATGCTACCGCACGAAGTTGAATTCATGTGTTGTGAAAATAATCCATAAACTTAGGGCAAAAGAAAGAAACGTCCGAAACTGAAGAAACGTCCTTGAGTCCGTGGAAGGACTGCTAGAGTATACTTTGTCGTACTCGGCTAAATCTGTTCTATTTTTCTGAGTCTTCCTTGACTCTGGGTAAAGTCGACTGACGTCTTGCAGGGCCACGTCAGCCGCAAGAGAAAAATTAGTGTCGCCCGTTGTCATAAGATCAAACACGCATGAATCGAAATAAAAATCCACGACGTTCGATGTCCTGCATTTGTTTATGGCGTCCTCTCGACTCATGGCAAACCCGTTTTTCGTATCACTAGTGCTCTGTTCAGATTTTAGCCTCCCTCTTTTTGTGGCTAAATACTTTTTGTAATTTATCCTTTCACTCAGCGGGCATCCTTGAAGGCACAAGTTCAACCCATCTTGGTTGTTTTCTCTCGTTCTGTTCACCAACTCCTCTGGCATACGAAGAGAGAACGTGAAGTAGCGTCCGATCTGGCGCACAACTATCGTGGTATCAATGTAGCGTACGTAAATCTCCACATGTTTTCCTGGGTCTTTTTCTAAAATTTGCACACTTTTCTCGACCCCGAAATGCCACCTTCCATCGTCAAAGGTTGCTGGCAGGTAGTTGGTTTGAGCTTGGTAAAGTACGTACTGGCTTGGCCCGCACTCTTCTATTCTATCGTCACTCTTGATTACGACGGTGAGCTAGAAAAGAAATTGAAAGTAGATTTTAAAAATACTTCTCTTGAAAATGAGCTTCTTTATTGAGTCCGTTAACATCATAACGAGTTACCAAAACCCGTCAAGAAGACTCCTATTATTATAAATATTCAACAAAATGAAACTGTTATAAAACATTGAACGATTCAATGACAAATCCTTGACAACGGTCACACAATATAAAATCTTAGGAGGATTGTGAAGAGGCTATAGCTTATTTCTTACAAAATTTGCGTGCATACGGAAAGGGGGGGGGTGAGAGAGGAAACCCAGCATTTTATTTATTAAAACAACACTATCCCAGTCCCCAATTATAATCTATAAATACAACCCAAGGAAGTTTTTCTTTGTTTTGGTTGCTGGCGTTGTCAAAAATGCGTGGAGTCCAGATGGTCCCCTGCTTTAATTAACACCAGGACTGAAACCGATCCACCTGAGATGTGAGCCCAATAATTGGCATACTGTCGGAGAGATCTGGTCAATTTCTCATCAAATCCAGGTGGGGTCGCTTTATATTTACAAATCACAAGTTCGGGTCATTAGGGTCCCTTAGCAAAAACAAATAACAGGCTCTAATGAGTGGGAGTCGTACACTGGCTAGTTAACCCAAGTCCAAAAATCCCCGACAAAGGACTCTTTAATATGGTCGAACCATATGGAAAAGCCGGACACATTACTTAAACGGCGGTCCCACTGGGGTGAAGAGGTACTCATCCTTACACATTCTCCGGTGGCTTTTAATTACCAGTGTCAACTGTAATAATATAGCGAAGGGGCGAATTAATTATGTGATATTTAGACAAGAAGTGAAAACATGGCAGGGCCTTTGTTGAACTACTTAGCATTCTATTTGTTTAAGAAACAAGGGAAGTGACCGCCATGTTGGAAAAGGTGGTTCATATTTATAGCAGGAGAGCAGGGAACCCGAATTCGGCGTTTATATTTTGGCTTTATCGATCGCTTTTTCATACCGTTACGCACAACCAGTTGTTGGTAGTGGGTAGCATGAAATATATCCAGTTCATGCATAGCTTTCACAAACCGGCACATAACACCAAATGAGAGACATTGGGGTGGCTGGGTGACCTGCCTAAGTGGCATAGCGAGAGCCGAAAATCCCCCGAGGTCCTGTTTATATAGTACAATTGCAGTCTCAGTACAAAGCCATAATGGATGTATTGAACAGTGTGTGTTTAAGGCGACCTTATTAAATGTTAGGTATAAAGTGGCTTGGTTTCATATGTTGACTGGGCCTGCCATTTCCACCGTTTACACGTCGCAACTAAAATTAAACACAGCTTCGCATGGGGCGACATTTTAATGACCGACTTATCAGAAATTAATTCACTCTAGATAATCTGACGATACATTTTGTACGAGATGAGATACATTACCTTGCTAGTGGCTGTTGCCGATCCGTCTTTAACTACTGGATCATTGGTTACTTGTACAGTTAAATAATCATTGTCTATGAGGGGCCAGGCTCCCTGAACTTTACACGTTTGGTAGTCGTTGTCGAACGTCCTTAAATGTGGATCTCCAAATAATCCGCAGTGTCTATAAACGCGTTCTCCATTATACGAACACACTTTGGCTGGAGTTATTGGTGGGGTGACCGGCGGTTTCACTCCGCCTTTAAATACATCTCCCTTTTCCGAACAATTATATCCTTTCATTTGGCGCTCGACCATCTCTCGAACGCTGTAAAACTGTATATTGCCCGAGCACGCAGCTCCAGTGATATTTTTCACGCACACAAAGTAAGTCCTGAGCTGCACACATCTTGCCTCACGTTGGCTGTATTTCCCTGCTCCGTCCCCCAGGACCTGCTGTGCTGCCATGTAAAGATTCCAACATCCTTCCGTTGCACAACTCTCTCCCGTCGTTCGAGCTATGAGAGAAAAAAGGACGAAAATCCAGGTTAAAATACATCCATAACACTCACGCATCTTTCATCCTCCTCTACTCTAAACTCTGCTCTTAACACAGCAGTCGGTGCCCCCCATTTTCTAGCATAAGTAGGTTAGTTATGGCCGACTCATTAAAGCTCGAGTTACACGAGGATTTCTGATTAATCAAAGTTGATCTCGATCGGTTTCTAACTGGATGGAGTAATAGTTACCTGTACAAGCTAAGAGTCCCAGCAACAGCAGACACCCGATGGAAGGCATAGGGCACCAGGCGCCCATTCCCGGCCATGCAGCTCTTGAAGGTCTCGTCGTTGTTGTATTACTACTTCTACTTCTTCTGGCTGGATACGCTCTGTGGACATGAAAAAAGAATAAATTCTGGTCAGCCATCAATCATAATGACACCAGATCAATAGGCTTTTGATTGGTAAAAGCCTCTGCCTCACAACAGCATTGCTCTGGGTGAACTGCACCCGCCATGACCAACTCGCTTGATATTATCGCTCGCAATAACGCTCTGCTGCTACACCGTCGCACATCGCTAACAAGTAACGATTAGGGCTTCTCGAAAACTAGGTCAGGAGGAGGGGCCTCGTAGTAATACAAAACCACGTCGAGCATTCCACTCCGCCCCCTATTGCGAAGTGATTGCCAGTGTGCAGATCGTGTATCAGCGCCGGCTGTCAAACTAGATTGCCAATAAACACTTAAGAGCGCGCTCTGATTGGTTGACCCCTTAACAATAATCGCGCTCTACAACCAGATTTTCCTAAAGATAGGCAACCCAAAATAACACACTGCTTTGTGTGTCCACACACAATACACCAATCATAGGCTGCTTACATTATTAAATCGTGCGAATTTCTAATTGAATGACTTCGCTTCCAGTTTTGTGCTGCCGTGTATTGGGGAGTCCGAAGCGTGAATAACAATCTCTTTTCAGCCCAAGGGGACTAACACTCAGTCCGTGGTTGACATATTTAAGAGCGCAGGTGAGCTCTACGTGCCAAAGAAATCATTTTTAATATTGGGATATCTGTGTTTGCCCATGCGTGCCCCCTGCCTGATCTCACTGATAAATCATGATCCCAGCGACACAAATACGTGAGGAATCGATCTGAGAGCGACTCGAACAACTTGCCCCGACTGAAACTCAAATTTCTATCGCACTGAGGAGATTTACAAAAGCTCGTGGTGAACTTTATTTAGTATGCGTCGTCAGAACTTGGAGAGAATCGAGCTCTATTGTTCCCAGCATGCTGCCAGTTTACTATTGTCCGAGCTCGGCTTTAATTTTCACTACTCAATGCACAGGAACAACCAGGTATAATGCCGGCTGGTGTCAGATGTAGATTACCATTTGAAAACGACCCAATCATCCCCTAATACCCTAGCCTTTATCCTAGTGTCAGCTTCGTTTGACCTCAATATCACTGCGAAAATAAATTGTTTTCACACACATTTGCCAATTAAAATGCTAATTACGTCACATTTGACACGTTTTACTCCCCAAAAATAAACACAGCATCGGGACGGGGTGCGAGGACGTATTAGAGCAGCTTTATATTTGGATTAGAAAAACAACGCCGTCAAATGTCACCGAGCCACGTCAAAATCGATATCTCGTTATAGAAAACAATACATGGAATTGTGCTCTTCGACGTTACTTTCAGTAACATATGCCGAGTGCTAACACGACGAAGCAGCATTTTGTCACGATCGGCTTTGCCAACCATCTCCTTCAAAAGTCCTTAAAAATCTGCAGAAATCATTTCGGAAAGAAATCACAAACGTCCCCATTCTTTTAGAAGTGTGATTTAAAACTCTATCCGCGCGAGGAAAGCACCCCCATTCTTTAACCACCAGCACTCCAAATATTTTTTTTCAATTCAAGACAGAGCCTCCCTCGGTCTAATATCGACTTAAAGTAGGCTTAAGTCTTCTACTCAAGACACCCAGCGCCACACTTGAGGTGAAATTTAAAACTCAAACAATTCCTCTTCTGCTGAAATAACTTAAGTATCCACAGAAGCGATTGAAAAGAGGGTAAATAGACAAACACGCCTTAGATTCTCCTCACTTCTATAAGTAAATAATTCACAAGTTATGTCCTACTCGATGCATCAGGCTCGCAAATAAAGCTAAAAAAGGAGAAAACAATATCGACAAGTACAATAGCCCCTTAAAAATCTCAAAACCCTTATCCAGAACGCAATAACAGCTAAGTGATAAAATCATTATGTCAAAGCGAATTAGAATGGAATTTCGCCATGGTAATAAAAACAAGAACAAATTATACAGGATGCTTGCTGATTCACGGTGTCAACAACATGTGTCCAGACTTGGGTCTCCGTCACTTGAACTAACGTTTGAAACGTTTAATCACACATCCTTCTTTTGAACTACTTCCGAGAGCGATCGCCCGATGGCTTGGTTTCCTCACACATGGTGCGGAATTCGCCGACCACGCTTTCGGAAGGTTTCAGCGCGCTAAATCAAAGGGTTTGAATGAAACGGAGGAACCGCAGATGGGTTTCTCGGTATCTTGTCCAGTTAACTGTCAACTCACCATGAATCTCGCCGACTTTGTGGCCGGTTTCTTCGTAGATGTGAACAATTCAAATGCCATGCACGGGGCGCGATAAGATATCTGGGAGATAGGGAGGTGTCGGATAGCTATTTGCTAAACAAATCCAAATTCATCGGCTTAGGCTCAATATTGACTCAACTGGGACTGAACTCCACAAAAACGGAGGAAAGTCACGTCGATACAACAAGTCGGGATCAAAGCCGCCTGATAAAGTGCTGGCCTGCCTTGTGCTGATTGTTGTATCTAGAAAGGTCAGGCGCTCCACTTGATATAGGAATGTCTATGCATACAGCTTCACACCTTGGTCTGCCTGTGTGTGCAATGTTTTCTTAACAAAATAAGTTAGTTTTTGTCTACATCTGCTTAAGCTGCACACTCGGCTCACATGGGAATATTCAAATCTTCATTATCTACTTCAACAGCTCCTTTCTTTCTGTTTTTTCATTCCGCGAATCTTTTCCCGGAAACCCCGTGAGTTTTTCTCTCCTTAACTAAACACAGGCCGTGTAAAAAGTCAAAAATCCATTGGTACATTTAAGCTTAGAAAAATAAATTGATATAACTATTATGCTACATTCTCTGAACGCCTGAAAGACAATATCCATCCACTCCTCAATATCGACTTTGTTCTTTTTTCAGTCTGCAGTCAATTTTACTTAGAGAAAAACCTACATGCGTTATTATCTCTTTCAATAAATAACGATTCAATGGCCCAGCAGTTCTATGAGCTTGCTGGTGTTCATTAACACAGAAGACACCCTGTTATTGCTCCACAAAACAGTAGCTCGGCTCTAAAATCATCACTAACAATAAGCATCGCTATCAACTCGGATCGGATAAAGATTAAGGAAAAGAACGTTGAAATGAATTTCACGCCTGTCGACTCCCACTAAGTTCAGATTTCGTAGATCAAAACAGAAATAGCGAGGAAGTAAGGAAAACCCATCACTGTAGCGGCAGCTGCTAAGAAATATAGCACCGTAACAAATTAATGCACTGTGAGGTCACAGACGTAAAGGCAAATGGTATAAAAATATCGGTATATTACAAGGATGATGCCTGAACGGAAATCTTGTATCTTGACTATGTTCCATCCATATCAAAGCAAAAGAAAACAAGTGCAAACATAAGAACCAAAGAGAGATATAAATACATACCGACCACCGTGACTGAGAAGCCGCTTGTTCTTTTCTGACGACTAAAGATTTATCCTAGCTCATATAACCCCACTATAAGTCCAACGTTTTCAAACAATTTTCTTTAATTAATAGTGCGCCAGCTGGGAGGGGAGGAGCAAACGCTGATCAATTCTGTATCTTTCTCACTTCATACTCTGAGCGTCACTTTAATTAAACTTCTCCTTTGAACGGTTATGAGATTTTGATTAGAGCGCATTATTCCAGCGTTAATAAAGAAGAAAAGACCAGCTTTTTTTAGGCGAGAAAAACCATTCACCATTATTTGCGTTCTCTCACAAATGGAAAACGAAATAAGACAGAAAGGGCGAGGGAAAAAAAGATAAACCAATCAAACTAAGTTACTAATAATGAAAACAATCCCGTCTTTCGCACCTTGGCCAAGAAAAAAGCCAGCAGATCAAAGGACGCACGTTTCGCGTCGCACACCTGCATGGGCCCCCGAGGTGGGCGCTTTAGTAGTCCGTGTTGTGCATCCTAGCCAGAGGGATTTAAAGACTAGATTAGAAAATTACACTATCTTTTACCTCATTCAATGGGACCTCCCCTCGAGCAATGAAGTAAAAACCCGGATCGCTACCAACTATTTAAAAGAGGCTTTTCTCCCCTGCTGAATACCTAATCATCATCTCCGTTGCATCATTAAGACGTGTTGGTATCAATAGGGCAGAGACACCTTGGAAAGTAAATGAGACTCCTTAACAATCAAACATTTAATTAGATGTTTTAATGAGCTGTAAGGCAAAACTTGTTCCTGTAATTAGCGACAGAACCCATCTATTTTCTGCGAAATTACGCACTGCTACCAACAGCGATAACACGGACAGAGATTCATTGTTTTCGCACCCTCTGTCAACCTGGTCTCCGATGTAGAGAAAACAACCGGCCATGTGTTCGACATTTTTGAGCTGGTACACTCCCCATACATTGGATGGCGGCCAATGCTTCTTGGCGATCATGCTTTTAACCGGAGCACTAACTCAGCAAGATCAGTCATTGTCAGAGCGACTAATTTACCACGCTGGCATCAAAATGTGCAAAACCGTTCTTGATATATTCCCTCGCCTCCAAACACAATTTCCTTGAGTTAAGACTGTGAGACATGTATCTAATAATGGATTTTGAAAGAAAAAAAAAGAATCACTTTGTAACTGAAATTTATAGATGTCCTCATTACGCATATATGTCAACACAGCTTCCGAGACATTTGTCATTTACAAGATTATGAAAAAGAATCTCACAAACATGAAAAAAAAAAAACCCTCACAAGACGTTCTTTCATCGACCCTCTTTAATACAATTTTCATATTGAAGTTTGCGTTTCTCTACAAATATAAATTCTGTCAATAAAAACCTCATTCCATTCCAGTTGCGATATGGCCAGTTTCCGTCCGCTCATGTGGATTTGAGGGCTGCAGTAAACAACTAATCTCACGCTAGGGTTAAAACCATCAACTTATTATCTGTCTCAACACCTGCAACTCGCTTCTTATCATTTCGATCCTGCTTTTATTGCGGGCCCCCTTATGTTTAATCATACGGCCCTTCAAATGGATTCTGACTATA